AATTTCCGTTTCAATACAATCTAGATTTAAATAAAAAACGGTCTCGAAATTCGAAGGAGAATGTAAAGCACACCCGAGTAGCCACAGATATCTCACTGATTTTGCTACCGTCAAAAATATTATACAGATTGGTAGACGATGAGGAGGGAGAATCTAAAAACGTTCAGCATCTTCCTTGAAACACAATATGACTTCAGAAAGTACGGGAACTGAGCTCCGAAATCCTCCTTATAGTGAGGTAGCTAAACAAACTGCTTGAACCGGAAAATCGATGTGTATGAAATATTTCTTGGCAGTGTTGCACATAACTCCGCCTGAAGTCCCCCCGGGGGCTACTGCCGGTCCCAAACCCGGATAAAGGAGGAGGGTTGGGCATGGGGTTAGCGTCCCTATCCCGTAGAAAACTAAATCGCTAAAAAACGCTAACCAGAAGAAAAAATTATTCAAACATTTTAAACTCTGCCCCGGGAGTCAGAAGGTCTTCATTTAGAAAAATTATGACGCCTCATGATGAAAGCCGAATTCCTTCGGAAGTTACGAGGCCGATGCCCCTTCTGACAATCAGAGCGACCATTTATTTAGGTACATGGAATGTTCGTACAATGTGGGACACCGGAAGAGCCTTCCAAATTGCTGCAGAAATGAGGAGATACAACCTAGAGGTGCTTGGGATCAGTGAAACACATTGGACGCAAGTTGGACAACAACGACTAACTTCAGGAGAGCTTCTGCTATACTCCGACCATGAGGAAGAAAATGCCCCACATACACAAGGAGTTGCATTGGTGCTGTCCAAACGAGCACAAAACGCACTTATAGGATGGGAATCTCATGGACACAGGATCATCAAAGCCTCCTTCAAAACAAAGAAAGAGGGCACTTCAATGAACATCATCCAATGCTATGTGCCTACCAACGACTACAATGAAGAAGCTAAAGATCAATTCTACAATAGGCTGAAGTCAATCATCGAGAAGTGCCCAACTAAGGACCTGCCCATTCTGATGGGAGATTTCAATGACAAGGTTGGAACAGACCATACTGGATATGAAGACATCATGGGATGACACGGACTGGGAGAAAGCGCCGAAAATGGTGAGAGATTTGCAAACATATATGCCTTCAATAAATTGGTCATAGGCGGCACCATATACCCACATAAACGCATACACAAAACCACATGGACTTCACCGGATCACACCACGCAAAACCAAATCGACCATATTTGCATCAACAAAACGTTCAGGAGGACTATAGAGGACGTGAGAACCAAAAGAGGAGCTGATATAGCATCAGATCATCATATGCTGGTCGCCAAGATGAAATAGAAACTCAAGAAGCACTGGAAAATGGGGTGGACAATATCACGAAAGTTCAATACGGCCTTTCTTCAGGATACTGACAAACTCAACGAATTCAAGATAGTCCTCAGCAATAAGTCCCAGGCCTTTCATGATCTACTCAACGGAGAAGGAACTACTATGGAGAGCAACTGGAAGGGGATCAGAGAAGCAATCACTTCAACATGTCATAAGGTTCTGGGCCACAAGAAACACCATCACAAGGAATGGATCACTGTTGATACACTGGATAAGATTCAAGAAAGGAGGAACAAGAAAGCAGCAATCAAGAACAGTCGAACAAGAACAGCGAAAGCCAAGGCGCAAGCTGAATACACGGAAGTAAACAAACAAGTGAAGAGGAGCATCAGAACTGACAAACGTAAATATGTGGAAGATTTAGCAACGACGGCGGAAAAGGCTGCAAGAGAAGGAAACATGAGACAGCTGTATGACACGACAAAGAAACTCTCTGGAAATCGCCGCAAACCTGAACTACCAGTGAAAAGCAAGGAAGGCGAGGTAATCACCAACATTGAAGTGCGACAAAACAGCTGGGTAGAACACTTCAAAGAACTCTTGAATCGACCAACCCCACTGAATCCACTCAATAGCGAAGCAGCACCCACGGACCTCCCAATCGATGTTGGCCTACCAACAATTGAAGAAATCAGCATGGCCATCAGGAAAATCAATAGTGGCGAAGCAGCAGGACCGGACAACATTCCAGCAGAAGCACTAAAAGCAGACGTAGCGACAACTGCAAGGATACTCCACATTCTCTTCAATAAGATTTGGGATGAGGAACAAGTGTGATAACTACAGTGGCATCACTGTTCTCCTATTACCGGGAAAAGTCTTCGACAGGGTATTGTTAAACAGGATGAAGGACTGTGTAGACGCCCGACTTCGTGATCAACAGGCAGGATTCCGTAAGGACAGATCGTGTACGGACCAAATCTCAACTCTATGGATCATTGTGGAACAATCAATTGAATAGAATTCATCACTCTACATCGACTTCATTGACTACGAGAAAGCGCTTAATAGCGTGGACAGGACAACACTATGGAGGCTTCATCGACACTACGGCGTGCCTCAGAAGATAGTCAATATCATACAAAATTCATATGATGGATTACACTGCAAAATCGTGCATGGAGGACAGTTGACAGACTCATTCGAAGTAAAGACCGGTTTCAGGCAAGGTTGCTTACTCTCACCCTTTCTCGTTCTTGTGGTGATCGACTGGATCATGAAGACGTCAACATCTGAACGGAAGCAGCCTCAGCAGCAGCAGCAGTAAGTCTCAATATACACAAAGGGAAAAGCAAGGTTTCCCGATACAACACAGCATGCACCAGTCCAATCAAAATTGACGGAGAAGATTTGAAGATGTAAAAACCTTTACATATTTGGGCAGCATCGTTAATGAACAGGGTGGATCTGATGCAGATGTGAAGGCGCGGATCGGCAAAGCAAGAGCAGCATATTTACAACTGAGGAACATCTGGAACTCAAAGCAACTGTCAAACAACACCAAGGTCAGGATTTTCAATACAAATGTCAAGACAGTTCTACTGTTTGCGGTAGAAACCTGGAGAACTACGAAAGCCATCATCCAGAAAATACAGGTGTTTATTAACAGTTGTCTACGCAAAATACTTCGGATCCGTTGGCCGGACACTATTAGCAACAACGTACTGTGGGAGAGAACAAACCAGATCCCAGTGGAGGAAGAAATCAGGAAACGCTGGAAGTGGATAGGACACAAATTGAGGAAAGAACCCAACTACGTCACAAGACAAGCTCTCACATGGAATCCTCAAGGCCGAAGGAGAAGAGGAAGACCAAAGAACACATTACGCCGGGAAACGGAAATAGACATGAGAAAAATGAACAAGAATTGGATGGAACTAGAAAAGAAGGTCCAGGACAGAGTGGGTTGGAGAATGCTGGTCGGCGGCCTATGCTCCATTGGAAGTAACAGGCGTAAGTAAAGTAAGTAAGTAAGTAAGTAAGTAAGTGTTGCACATTGCCCATCCGGCTAAGGTTATGCGAACAATGTCCACAGATCACCTCTTTTTTACCACAGGACTATCCACAAGACTGGGGATTATGTAGCAAAGATATGGTCAGTCTTTAAAGCATCAGTGTGTGAGGTATCACAACTACATATCTAGAGTCCTTTACAGTCCTTATTTATCAGCTACTTCCCAGAAAATCTTAACTCATCAGTCTCGATTTGTTAGGATGACACCAAACTGTGGAGAGCTATCATATTTGAATCAGATTAATGGTAGCGTCATAGAGACTTGATGCTAGTGAAAGACGGGGGGAGACAAAAAATTGTTTGACTTTTGACATCCAGAAATTTCATACTATGGAATCGCAAACTATATAAAAGCGACGGACTGGTTATCAACTCTGAGGTCATTGCCTATCTAGAACCTCTACGAATCCTGACCTATATTCGTAACTAACAGAGGGCCTGGCAAGTACCAGTATCTATCACTGAGATCCAAACAAAGGGTTCGTTATTGCTCATGTCTTTCGGAGTAGGTTAGGTGTGCTGACTTTTGAGTTATTTTTGGCACTACTGAAGACCTATAGCATCTCATTTCCCGAAAGTCACGTTGCTGCGCCCGAAAGCTTTATGAATCTATCAGAGTGGGTCAAGAAACATGCGACCATGCGTGATTTAAAATCAAGAAGTTAAAACCATGAAGACCGGATTCTTCGCGTAGGTCTTTTCTCGTTAAGCTACGTGGCGGTCTGATAATGGTGAAGAACATACGTATTACCCCATATCAAACCGATGAAACAAAGTCCTCCAAACCCACTACTACACCCCATAACGTAACATTTCAGAAATTGGGCATCGAAGCAAGGACAATAGGATATGGTCAGAATGTTTCAGTACAGTTCGTTTTCATCTGAACTATCCTTCTAGCTAATTTGACCACAGTACCCTCAGCGAGTAATTCTCAAATGATAATCTACAAACATGTACGCAGTCAAGGTTCATCACTTATCCACCGTCATGATGTTTAGCTGTATTAACCGCCAGGTGAAAAGTTTGTTCACGTAATCGCTCATCCTACTACATGTCTCTCAATTTATTCCTCGTAACTATTACTATTTTTATCATTAATCAATCCAAGTCAATTCACTCTAAGTCATTTCCGTATATACACATTTACATATTAAAAGGAGGAAATTCTACTTGTTTTTCGTGCCTTGCTTTCCTCATTGCCCCGGATTCTAGTTCTGCAACCTTCGCAATACACCCAACCAGTCTCCTGCTTTGTAACATCTAAGCAGATAGTTCTAGAAACCCAACAGCCCCGGGTTGTAATTGCCAAATTTACCAAAAATGTTACTGCCAAGTAGTCGTACTTCCATTTTTGGACCATTCTGAAAACGTAGAATCTCAGAGTAATTTAAAGATATGAAGTCAAAAAAGAAATTTTATTTCAACTGGATCGTCACCAAGATATATACCTGGTTATCGAACTTTGCCCAGTCTTACATATGGTTTAGTAATCTAATATTTTTCGGACTTGAATCGTTAGGAAGTGATACTTTGAGGCTTGGACATAAAATTGGACCTTGAAACAAATTGGCCTACACGAGGACGCCTAGTTGTTTTACTGAACGTTGATATCGATTACCATGTGGGTTTGTCGCTTGTGTTTAGTGTGAGGTCTGATTTCGTATTTGTACCCCAAAGCTGTTCACATGCATTTTGAGTGTTCTGTGAACTTATTTACACTGGTGAATGTGATCAGTGTTTAGCTTTGTATCTTGATATGTATAACTGCTGTTGATAAAGACATTAAAATAGCGTCTGACTATAATTGGTTTCTGGGTTTTCAGTTTGTATATTCATTTTTAAATAGCCTCATGTATTTAATCAACCTCGTCCCATGACTTGTATACTGTGATTTTTTATGCATATAGTCTATACTACGGTACATTTTAGTGTGACCGATTGAGTTCTTTTCAACGTATAGTAAAATGTCCTCATCAGATGTCAGGACAAAAAATTACTGTCTGTCTTTCTCACACGACTTTTATCAAGTGCAACTAGTGGATATAGCTACTCATAGAATCATCGCATATCAGTAAACATCGCCTTCAGCCCTAAACTGCTTGTTTAGGAAAATAACCTTTCAAGCCACATAAGTACAAAGTTCGGTACTACGAAGCAATCTCTCAAGTCTAGCCATCCGACAACTGGGTCTACTGTAGACATAAACATCCAGACAGCCTAAATTCGGTATATAGTGTTCATGACAATGGCAATGATTGTTTGGTGACAATATTCCGGTAGGATTATAAGGACCACATTGTTTCTGTCAGTCTTCAATCCCAGTAACAGGCAAATGTTTTAAATATTCCAAATTAATTATACTGTACAGCAATACACGGACTGTTAGATATTACTTTTACAGACAGAACAAATGTGGCGTGTATTTATTAGCTTTAGGTGTCTTTGAAGGGTCTCTGATACATAGTGGGACTATCAAATGAATATTACCTAGTCCTCATTACTAACAAAGAAGGTGGGTGAGTAACTTGAATGTGCTTCATATCCGTGCAACTAGCCCCTACTCTGGCACTCTAGATTTGATATCATAACAGCTGTTTAGGAAAGGCTAGTGTTGACTGAAGTACTGGTAACCTGCTTATTTTTATCTCAATACTATGTCCTCAGTCTTCAGTTATGAGGATAGTAGGTTGGTGGACTTGTATTAGTCCTGACACATTGCTTTCCAGTGAAGGTCCAGCTTGTTGAAAGTATTCACTGATGGGGCTGATACCACTTGTTCGGGTAAGGCATTCCAGTGACTGACTACTCGATGAGAAAAACGGAACCCCACTTTAAGTTCATTAGATCGTGGTTTATGAACCTTCTTGCCATGACCTTGGAGATTATTAGTGCTGGAGGGATAAAAAAGATAAGACATATTGACACCCAAATCATAATTAAAGATACGAAATGCCACTGTAAGGTCACCTCGTGTCCTACGATACGACAAGGGGAAAAGGTTTAGGCGTTTTAAACGCTCATCGTAAGGGAGTCTAGAAAGACCTTTCACCAATTTCGTTCCCACACGCTGGACACTCTCAAGGGAGTTAGTATCCTTTACCAGACATGGGCTAGCTGCTTAGATACAGTATGCTATATGTGGTCTTACATATATGGGATATAAAATTCGAAAATTTTTTTTTGGTCAAAAGATTTGAACGCTCGGCGAAGTGACCATAACTCACGAAAACCTTTGACAGCGGCTGCTTTGCAATGCGTAGTTGTTTTTAAATCATGATTTAATACTACTTCTAAGTCTTTATGCTCTTGAACGTATGGAAGAGGTTTACCCTCGATAGTGTAACGGTAACTATTACCGTGACCTATGTGCATTAGCACACTCTTCCTAGCATTGATTTCTAAGCCCCACTCTCGAGCCCATCTAACTAATTCGTCTAAGTCAGCTTGAAAATCCAGAAGATCAGCCGCACTTTTTATTGTTCTCCAGATTTTTACATCATCCGCAGACAATAGTGTCGACGACCTAAGTAACAGCGGTAACTCATTAACGTAGAAAAGGAAGAACAGGGGGCCTAAGAGGGTGCCTTGGGGTACACCACTTTTGACCGGCTTCCAATCGGATAGCGTCCCATTGACCCTCACTCTCTGTCTGCAGTCACATAAGAAGTTACCTAACCACTCCTGTACAGTACATATTATTCCGAAGCTCGTGAGCTTCTGTATAAGACCTAAGTGTGAAACCTTGAAAAATACTTTGCTAAAGTCTATGAATATCACATCGACAGACAGACCTTTATCTAAGGCTGCTGTCCAATCCTCTCGCAATAAGTAAGTTAGTCAAGCACAAACGCTTGTTACAAAATCCGTGTTGTTCAGGAGCTAACAGATTGCGTAAATCTATGTGGCTTAGCAACCTAACCCGAATTATCTTTTCAAGTAACTTATCGACTATGCTAATGAGACTGACAGGTCGGTAGTTAGATACTATCTGTCTCTGACCGTCCTTAAATATAGGACTGACTATAGCGTCCTTCCAATCTCTAGGGAGTTGAGCGAGTGAAAGGGACATGTTGAAGAGTGTCGCGAGCGGTTTTGAAATAATGTCCGCAAGAGATGACAGCAACCGTGGATGTAACCCGTCAGGGCCCGGTATCTTACCAGGTTTGAGGTTAGTTATCAACGGAAGGATAGTTTCCTCAGTCACCTGTACAGATTCAATGGTTGGTATCTCGTTGTGAGTGGGACAATATTTGTTACAATAAACGTAGAGAAGACTTCGCTAAAATAGTCTTAAAAAGTCTCAGCTTTCGCTCGATCTGATTCAGCTAGTAAATCTGAATTTTCGTGTAACGGGAGAATACCATCACTACGTTTCATTCGCCGTTTAACATACGAAAACAATCGTTTCAGACAAGTACGGATATCATATACTAACTGTCGTTCGTAAGTGGTACGGGATTTGGTTATGGTTTTCTTACAGATATTACGGAATTTTTGGTACTCACGCTTAAATGTTGCATGACCTGTCAGCAAGAATAAGTCCCAGAAATGTTTCCTACGCTTTAACAGCTTCCGGGTTTCCTTATTAATCCATGAAGTTCAATGTGATGGCTTACGTGCTGACCATGGGATTAATGGCGACATTACGAACTCGAATGTAGCCTTAAACTTATTCCATTCATCTTCGATCAATCCATCTGCGTCGACCGACCAATCAGTCGAGATAGCACCGTTTCTGATTTCCGGAATATTGGCTCGCCAGATACTGGGACGGGGTGGAGCAGATACGAATTGTATACCATGTGTCCTAAACTTAAAGTGAATTACAACGTGATCACTGTTCACTAGTCGGGGAAGGTATTTATTTTATTTATTTATTTATTTGAACACATAAATATTGGTACAAGAGAGCGCCAATATATATGCTGAATATCAAAGAAATTGTCACAGTGGTGGGTGAGGGCGAGGTCCAACAGTGACGGATCATGATTGAAATCAATGTGTCGGTTTTGTGATACATTGCACAAGTGCACACTGAATAACGGTAGATAAAAGGTCGCTATCGAAACCACTACCTGGAGCTGTAAGCTCTATCCAGTTGATATGCGGTGCGTTGGAGTCCCCAATGATGAGACAACATTCTACCATACTCCAAGAACAGATGTGTCTTAGGATAAAGTCATCAGCAAGACAAAACGGACTACGGTGTATCCCTCCAATAGTCACTAACCCATTTCTAGATTTAATCTTACAACATGCAACCTCACATGTGCCATTGATATGAGCCTCCGATATGGTTGAATGTATACAAAAGTGATCCCTAACATATAATATTAAGCCTCCCCTTTTGCGACTTGAAGCTCTATCACTTCTAATAGGGATATAGCCTGCAATGAAAGGAGAACAGTCTATATCTACGGTGAACCAAGTTTCTGTAACAACGATTATATCGGGACATAATTCTTCCACCATCAGACTTAGCTCAGACGTTTTATTTCTAAGACTACGAGCGTTCGTGTAGCACACATTTAAGGTGTTTTCGCAATCAATCGTTCTACCCATACAGGCCTCGGAAGCATTGGCTTCCAAGACCTGACTACCCGAAAACCCTTATTGGTAAGGTTTTATTTGCGAGTCCTCAACTCCGTAAGAGCATTCTTCCGCTTGATTCGATCCTCAAGCGGCCAATCTGGTCGAATACGGATATTTGAGTCACGAGTTTTTAGTGCGTTTTTCAATAATATGTCTTTCTTCAAAACTCCCGAGAACCAGCTTCAGGATTCTTCTTGGTTGGGTCTCGTCTCCAACCCATTTACCAAGTCGTATTACTTTTGTAATATGTACCCCTGAAACCTCTTCAGGTAGTACATTTCTTACCATAGACTCCACTAACTGCAGGCCATGTGAATGTCTTCTAGCAGGGTTGTTGTCTTTCGACTCCTCTAGATTCCAAATAATTAAACTAGGAAGGGGTTTAGCTTCTTTTGAAACTGTGTTCACAGCTTTCGACCGTGACGTTGGATCCTGTATTTTAACTACTGGTATCTTACGATTAGGTTTTATTGTAACAGAGTCCTGGGAGTCGAGCGAGTGACTCACAACAATGTTAGACGAAGCTTTACTTTGGGACTTTGGCGGATTGGTCTGAGAGCCAACCAAAGACTTATCAAGTAAACAGTCATTAGTTTTAGCTGTCTTTTGTACTCTTCTGCGTTTTCGCGTCATCCATTTTCCATTAGTCGAAACATCTACATTAGAACAACTCGGGACAGTAATTGTTTTATCTGAATCACTAGTCGCAGCTGTAGCAATATGGCCACCAACGTCTAACGAAGTGTCACTCACTGATCGTTTCGGGGAAAAACGTTTAACTGCGGGTCACACAGGTAGATGTCTGGCTTGCACCGTGACAGCACTTACGACACTAACGCAATCTTCACCATCAGTACCAATGTTACCAGTGCGGCCCTCATCAACCTCCTTATTAGCTAACATCGGGAGGCTAACTGCTTCCTGGATGAGTAATGTTTTGCTCGAGCAACAAAGACTACAAAGCTAATGAGAGTTGGGCTTTGAGCACCTTTTATATGCAGTGGGGCTTAATCGGGTGCACATCTTATGGAACCACTTATTACACTCATCACATTGCATCCCTTCATCCACGGGAAATAAGCAATATGATTGTCCACATTTATGAGCAGACCTAGCCATCTTGAAAATCAATTACAACGGTGACGCAAACAGGATATGTAAAAGGATTCACAAACCTTAATTAAATAAATCAATTAAAAGTCGACCAAGTATGCTTCGATGCAATCCCGATCGTTGTTGCTACCTTGACGTGGTGGTCGGGCTTGCCTATCGTGATGAAGCAACCGAGCTATACTAGCTGGAACAACCGTTCCTCAAGGTCCTACCATGTCAGACAGGTCGGCTGAAGAGCGGTAAGACTAAAAGCAACAAACCCAAGGTCCGAAGTCGAAGTCGTACTGCTGACTGTACAGAGGTGTGACAGCAGTAAGATGTTTCCTTCAGACAACCAGCATGACAGCGATGCTGCCTTCCCACAAGGAGGGGTGGGGTTAGAAAAGGTCGACCCTAAAAATGCACACCTCACCTTACCTCACGGATTTCCGTCTCCGGCGGTAAAGCCCTTTGAAGAACGGAGCTAACACGTCAAAAACCTCTCACGAAAAGGCCGTGCGCAACCGGCCTCAAGCAGTTGTCCCTTGGGCACTGCGGTCACGCTCTCAGTTCACTGGGACCACTTCTAATCCAATTTGCTTTTCATGTACCTCCAGAAGAACCCTTCCTCGATGTGGGCAACCGGGAAGTGATAACCGCCCTCATACCTCTAACAGCACTCGAGACCACTGTATTCATAATCAACCTTCCTTCGATGCAATAAATACACAAAAGCAAAATCGAAACACTCAATACAATATCATTTCAACTGCGGTAGATGCAATTAAAGTTTAAACAGTAGTTTTGATGCGTAATTTACGACCAAAACAGTTGATTAACTCAACGAGAAACAATACCACTATCCTTTTAAATAGAGCGCAAGAAGTTAGTCTCCTAAAATAATACTAGTTCTCGGTCAGCTAGGTGACCTGAAGGCGTATCATTACCACGCCCGCACAAACTACAAGGTAAGAAAATCAATAAAAATAGAATTTACCACGGTAAAAAGGTAGGTAATAAGTGAAGAAAGAGTTAAATACTTCTATGAAGTTAAATTGAGAATTAACCTTTCATCAAAAGTTCCCACCGATTCCTGTCACATCGAATCCCAGTCACAAAAAGTTAATTACAACGTAACTTCCATTAAGTCGAGAACTCTGTAAAGCAATCTAATGTATTGGCTTACTATATACTATCCAAATTAACCCGTCTTCTGTAATCATATTATATCGAGATGAATTTTGATTAGATATGAGAAGCACAGCCTGTTTCCACTTGTTTTAGACAGATCACTAACACAAATACTGATAATTTATTGCAACTCAATATACTGATCAAATGGGAGTGACCTGATTTATTCGTATGTACTTCAATCTCTACTGTTTCAACAGAAACTAACGTAGTTATCTGGTCTCTTAAAATCGAGTCTCATCGGTGCCATGATGTGTATAAGTTGGTAAGTATTAAAGAAACAGGATTTCTCTATCAATGTACTAAAGGCATGTATTTTGAACATAATCCAAGGTGCCAAGGATGACTTTCAGCCAGTAGATCATAAGTTCATATCCCGATTCAGCTAAATCATTCAAAGCAGGCGAGTAGAATCATCAGCCCAGCTCAAAGCAGGGTCAGTTACATTCCTATTATCTGTACTATTTCTGAACAATTTTCATCTGTTTTTCTAATCATGCAAACTAAGTTTTTTACAGACGAATGTTTTTCAAACAATTTTGTAACCTAGCTCATTGCTGTCTTATATAGGTTCGCGCGAATAATCATGTAAGTTTCCTCGAAGCTGCAGGTTTCGCTCAAGATGGGGGAAATGGTCTGTGGATATCATAAATAGATGGATCGTCCGATTTTCAAGTTAAGCTATCGGCTTGTTTTTCTTGTCACATTCTTAATCACATTCGGTAGCTGTTTGGATTCAAATTCACCTACCCCCTCATGTCTTAGTATGTCAGGTATGGTAATCCACTTTATTATAATTGCATTCCTTAGAACGATCGAAATGGAATAGATCTTTTCACTTTAACAACCAGGAGCTCCGTCTAAAGTTGGAAGTCACAAACCGATCGTCGCATTGGATTGTCAACTACATATTTGAGATATTGGCACGTGAAAGACTTGGCTATCAGTTTATAGAATTTGTCAAACAGGATATGGATCATCCTAGACTAGCAATTAGTAGATTAGATTGCAAAGATTCTAAGTAAGTGAAAAAGTATGTGATTGAGTCTTGATCTTTAGTTTTGTTTTCTATGCGAATTCACCGTACACGGTCATAATGAGATTGTGCGTAACTCAGATATTAGGGTTAAACGTATTTATATGTCCGATGAGTGTGAACATCTCATGTGCTCAGAATTTCGCTAAAGAAATGTATCGTCATGAATTTAAATTCCAACATCGTGTTTCTTTTTCACTAAATCCTAAACAACACTTACTGGTTTGTTTCACAACCGACTCATGTTCCTATGTACATAAGGAGTGTAACTATATATATTGGGATACATGTGGTGGGAAAACGTAAAGATACCACTTTCTGGCGTAATTCACCGAAAGAATATTTGAGTAATCCGGATGTTTCGATAGTAATTGATTGACAGAAGACGTACCCGGTGTTTGATGATGGATCTCCCCGAGCACTGATAAACTGCGTGATGGACATGAATGTTAAGAGTCTTTAAGTGCCACGTGGTAAGGTCATATGGTACTTTAGAATACTGTGTTCATAATTCATGGGTAAATGATGTGTAGCTCGAGATACCTGGCGATCAGAATTTACAACCTACTGTTTTAATTGTGAAAGGCTAACATCGTTCTTATTTTTTAATAGTTGGTACTTGCTGACATTTGTACAGTAGAATTTCACGTACATCCCCTTTTATACCACAAATTGCTTAGTCCAGATACATTCGTTGCGATGTTCTCCAATTACAATAATATTTCATGCGCATAGGTACGCGTCAGGAAAACAGTTGTGTGTTGTGCAGATTTCCAAGTTGAAATTTCACTTCCTGCAGTGCTTACACCCTGATAATATTGTTAATCCCTTTGCAAAGTGAATTTCAAATTCATCGTCATTCATATCTATGCCTAAGCGTTTCAACGATTTTGCGAATTTTTTGGGACGCGTTACAAAATCTAACATCGTTTATTTAAGTTACTGACAACTATTAGTTCCTGAAGTTCCTTTTGAACTTAGTACTTTGAAAGGCTAACTGGATAACCAGTTGTATGAGCCTGTTCAGGTTTCAAGCTTCTTGTAAAGAGGATTGTCAGATTATTGTGTTAGTAGTCAAGTAGATGCATACGTATTTGGGTGCCCTTCTGTACAAATGTTGTGTTTAAATAAAATCAGGTGTAAAAATTTTGTTTCTAAGCTATCTGAGCATGTGAAAAACTTTCTTCATTTACTTGTTGTGCTAACTCATATAAATAGTTAACAGAAATGTAATCTCCGTTTGGTTTAACACAACCTTGATGATAATTTCCATATGATCCGTTGCTGATGATAAGTATTGTCCTATGATTTCACACGAACTGATTTTTCCATCCTTTTAAATGAATTATCCCTGATGCTTTGTATCCTAGTTTTGAATATAAATACGAACTCGTTTGTTTTGTACTTGAATACCATGGAATTGTTATTTTCAGCTGTTACAAACTACCAGATGTTCACATAAATCTTGAATTATGGCTATCTTTGGGAACGATAACAAGTTCTTGGGTCCCAAATAATAGAGTGATCGATAATGGACCATTAGGTCCAACTAACCGATGGGCTATTTCTTCAAGGGAAGAGTTTATGTCACAGGTCTCGGCATTGACAGAGGTTTGTTGTGTGCATTAATTTTACGTTTTACGTCTTGGACGTAATGTGGTATTTTACAGCAACTAAAACGTTTAAGATGTAACTTAATACTACTTTCTATTGGGAACACCTTTGATATCTTTTTATGATTATTTCGTCAAACTATATCTAAATCAAAACGTTATTTTGAAATTGTGCGTGGAACTTTTAGGTGACTTCACCGTTCGTACTTTGATTCATGTTAAACAACAGACAAGTATGGCGATAACTTTGGAGTCTTAGCACTGTTACTTGTCGTATCTCAAAAATCTGTATTTAAGATCCTAGTGAATCACCGCAGATTCATTCACTGTCTGTCTGTTCGTAAAATGTCCTATGTGAGCCTTCTCGGGACCCTATGAAATCACCATCCAATCTCTCTATTATCAGCTACACTGAACACCAGAAAACGGTGGTATCATATATACCAACAGACGAAGTGGTTTCACCAGAGCAAGAATGAAGTATCATGAGAAGCAATGACTTTCTTAATCTCCACTGACGGTTTGTGGCTCAATTAAGTTATGACAACGATCTGCGTGAAATAGATATTTTGATGCTTGCTGTGAACTTCAGTACTCAGGTTGGGGGTCTACGGTTCAGACGAAAGTCGTTTGCATCATTGTGCACCTTCTGAAGCACCTGTCTAGATTTTGATTATGCTCTGGTACACGCCAGATTCATCTTGCGTTTCAGCCGTCAACACAATAATCAACTAACACCTTGATATGGTGGTTGGGATTGGTTATCGTGATAACCTCATCTAGCCATATTGGATGGAACACTCATTCTGTTGGGTCTTACCATTTCGGGAAGGTCGGTTAGAGAGCGGCAAAACTCAAAGCTGCAGCGTAAGGTCCGAGGACTAAGTCATACCGTCAACTGTATGGGGGGTATTAAGCCAGTTAGATGTCTTCGTCAGAGTTAGCGTCTATGGTGACGCTGTCTTCTCGCAACGAATGAGTTAGTAGAAATAACCACGTAAGCAAGTTTGAAAAGACCATACCTAATCTGAAGCGTTAGAGGGCCTCAAGATCTGATTGATTACCTAGAAATAGAAAAACAACCAATATTGTGTCGATGCTGATATCGGTATTACCTTTAGTTCAAACTAGAAAATCATTTGACGTTTATGCCGGTATACTGTCCGTATGAGTTGATTTCTAATTGTATTTGCATTAGCAGGTTAACCGAAAGAACGGGAATATAACCGTGAAGATTAAGAGTTCCAACTAATGTTCCAGTTTGTTAAGTTTGACATGGTTTATTTAGTTACGGGGAGATTTTCTCGACCTCATTATTGTTTACCCGTGATAGGAACTAATAAAATTTTTAATACATATGAATGGTTATCAGAAATTCATTTAATACGTAAAATTGATGACAGTTGTGGGAATTTTGAACAGATGACTAACATTTGTTTGTTAAATATGAGTAGATCCATGCGAGACATGCTCTAGACTAAGTGTTTTAGTGTACAATAAACCAATTATTTATATATTTACCGGCTGATGGTGCGTGCATACAATTTAGTTGCAACTATGGAGTTTAGCATAAGACATAAAACGATTTATTTGAAATAGAGTGATTAAAAATTGAAATCGACAAAGCCCATGATCCACAAACACAGGTGATGTGATGTTACACGATGCTTTCGGCTAAATAGATCTTTACAAGGTGATAATTCGTGAGTGATGCTCATGTGATTATCAGGAAGAACGTAAGTTGTAACCAAGTGGAGTACAACACCAAAATGTCTAAATCGACAGCCACTGTTAGCTGGTTTAAGAGCAAGTTGAAAAAAGTTCGCGGTGGCCAATGTAAAGTCGGTGATTCTTGGTCTGACTATTTTAGTACGTACAGGCTATAACTGCGATTGCTGGACGGAAATGTGTGACATGGCTCAAGATCTGTATTCATTCTTTGTCTTATTCTAGACATTGAATCTCAGTATCCTTTTATACATACAATTTTTATTTCGTCTTTTTGAACCACATTAAGTGTTTTTACTTCCTCATTGTTCTTGCTACCCCAGTTGTTTTGACTTCTTCAAAATTAATCTTTTTAATTTCGTTTTGTCGTGCTAATACTATATGATAACTTACTGTCGACTCATTGTTAGGATTTCTCTTATTACGATCAACTTACTGTTATTGCTTAGTATTCTTTGACACAACTTCACTCGACAAGTCCCCGAATCAGAACACGATTGAACACGAACGTAATTATATAACATGTCTGGATGGAAGTATTAATCACAATAAGAAAAACATATTTATAATTTTCTTATAAGAATATTCTAGTCATCCGGGGTATCCGAGGTATCAAAACGAGTAATTCTGACAGTATACATATATAGTGTAAACATGATAAGTCGACTAATGAGACTTGTCTGACCATGTGTCACACACGTCTGTCTGCTACCTACCTTGATAAACAATGCCAGCTAGCGTAAGAGTAGGTTGAAAAATACTGAGATAAAGCAGACCGAAACATTAAACTGGTTTATTCAATCGAAAGGCAAATGTCTTCGGTTCTTATGCGTTCTACTGTGAATACTAAGATTCGGATGACAGTACTGTCAATTCGAGAAAATCAGAGAACGATAAACGTACTATGTTTACATGAAGACAAATCGCCACACTGCTTACTCGCGTAAGGATTTTTTTGTTGCATTGTTTGCACTCATGCATTTTTCCCCCTTAGATTCTCAAATAATGTGCTATTAAGTTCAATTTTCAAACGGTTATTAAAACTTAAATAAGTTTAAATGGGATTTGATGTTAATGATTAGTGATCACTCCTGTATAAAATGACCTAGTAGTTTAATATCCGTGACATTCATTACTGTATTTACAGCTTTATTCTAATTTTTAGCCTTCGGTATGTAAATTCTTAATTTTGCTTCGAACTACAGGGATATTCATATTTTGTTATCCATTCATCTAGATAACTTTTACGTACTGTGCATTTTCCAGTTAACTTTCTTTACAAAAAGCTTAGTTAAGATTAATACATCAATGTTTTTACAGACACAGTCTGATTGTCGTGATAAACATGGACCAACTAATTCTCAAATTCCATTATCACAAACTCGAGTTCAATCAAAATGTGATCTGGATATGTGCTATGCTTCCAAATTTCGCAATGGTAAGATTATTTCTTTCAGTACTGTAGTATTTATTAAACTTTATTATAGATCAATATCTTTCGTTCTTCCGAGTAAATACATGGACAGGCAATTATAAACTAATCTACTTCTATTACTCACTATTTATTCGTAATCTAATCAAGTCCCATTAGTTGTAAACAGCATTTTGAAAAGACGACTATCTCTCCTAACTTTACTGCCACTTGGTAAAGTAATACCATTGGTGCGCTGCATAATTGTTGTCCTGAAATATAGCTTTATATCTTACTGACATCACAGTTGCTGTAGGTTCGTGAACGTCGAGCATTATTTCTGCCTCCTCGTGGCGGGGGTGTTGTTTACGAAAATGAGAGGACGAAAAGCGAATGTCCGGGACTATAACCGGATTCCAAACCAATGATGCACATGAGCTTCAGTAACCTGAAGGAACAAATGGCGTATGAACCAGTTGTTGGTCACCGGCTTCCATGGGACTGCATCTCCTTACGATTATTATTATTATTATTATTATTATTATTATTATTATTATTATTATTATTATTATTATTATTATTATTATTAGCTTTATTCAATATTATAATTTTGGTACAATATAGAATTCTCAGCGCAAAGTATTTCAACAAGTTTCCGTTTCTTTCTTCTTGGTCGGTCCTGGCGATAAATATTGAGGGATCGCCAGTTAGATGTTAGCACTTCAGTGAATGAACAACTGAATAATGTACATTCTTTTCGTTGTATATTGCCAGCAACCATATTGTCTCTTATTGAGTTTTCTGTAACTTTGACAACGAAAGGTTGTACACTTTTCAGAAACGCAGCAGAATAGGTTATGCGATTAATAAACATAATGATATATTAAAACAAACAACAATAGAAAACTTGTTGAAATATCTAGATGTCAGGAACAGGTAGCCCAGATGCTCAAGCAGGCCGCCCAAATGCTCCACTGCCTTGTGGATCAGACCTTCAGGTCGAAGGCTCGGGGTGTGGCCCCCTAAGAAAAAATCACCTGCTTCGGTTTGGGCACCCGGGCAGTATCACAGCCCTCACACATATCGAATGAGATTTGTGTGGCGCATATGTATTTGGTGCCTCCTCGTACCAATATCTTTGTGTTAAAATAAATGAATAAATATCTGATGAGACGTGTTTCTTATAAACACCAAACTTAAATCAACTTATATTACAAGAAGAAAATCTGACATGATCTGGTATCAAATTGAGCTGTAAAAAGGTTAGTTATATATATATATATATATATATATATATATATATATATATTTCGCAATTCTCCAGGGCCAGTTTCGTTTCGAGCACTGGCTTGTGATATTTTAAAGAATGATTGTTTCAAAACAACAGCGTTAAACTACTGATCTGAGTACATAAGTAGTAAGCTCATCTGACACCTATTGTAAGGCTACTAAATTCATCTAATATAAGCAGAAGCAATAAATATGTCAATTATTGATGCCTTACTCCGAAAGCTGCCAGACTATTTCCTCTAAGAACACCAAAACATTGGAGTCGTGATTCAGTGGCTAATATTATATTTTGACCAGTGGGCAAAATCACGTAACAAGCCACTAATCAAAATTCTGATTCTAATTTGTTCTATTATTTACCCTATAGCTTAGTGTATGTGACTTGGCCAAATACACGCCCGGCCAGCACCATCGACCTTGGGTCGGCAGCCCTCTGTTCGCTTGCTCAAGTGTCCAGCATTTATGTATCTACATTTCAAACAGACGTTATTTATATACAATCTCAATGGACTGCATCACACCATGAAATGAATAGTAATAATTATACATGAATAAACCAAAGTGGCTATGATATGGGAGATTAGATAACAAACTTTAACAAATTAGGAATAGTAAGTCATATGACAATAGTTCGTGAGTCAAACGAAAGCTTATGATGAATGGGACATGTAGGCAAACTAACTAGCCAATAAAATTGTAATTAATAATAGTCTGAAGAAGTCAGTTTCAACTTTCACAATACCTAATTCTTCAAAAAAGTTGATGCGTTAGAATTTCGGCCACCAAGCTCAAACCCCTTTTCACTTGCTTCAGTTTTGGGACCTATGTAGCCTTCACTCATTGTGTGTGGCTCATAAACAAGTACCTGATGAATGAGTTGATTATTTATTTTTATTATATCAGTCTAAACTCGAAATATCCACCCACGTGACTTTAACGTTAAGAGCTACAAAGTCTCAACTGAAACTATCTGAATAAGTCTCTTTGTAATAATGTTAGTTTGTAGCTTGTTTTGAGTTAATATTGAGGTTCATTTTCGACCGTAAACTTGACTGATGTTGTACATTTAAACAAGCAATTATTATCATCAGTTCGGCTCTATCTGTTCTTACTTTTGTGATTAGCATTAATTTCTGTACTAAAGTGATTTGTTTTTAATCTTCAATGTCTTACGAATAGAATTTTGGCGTTGATATACGCTTTACGGCCACTGAACATTAACATCTGATTTGTTTTACCAGGAAATACTGCAGTCTCGTAACCTTGAAATCACTGTCTCAGTTACCAGTAATTTTAACACCCCGAAACATATCTTGAGACATTTCGTAAAGTTTGGTATAATCTTTTTTTATTTTGAAGTTTCACCATAATTTTAATTATATTTTCACAACATTTATTTGTTAGAGTTCATCCGTTATTTCACTGGATCAGAAATCCCGTCTAAAGAGTTTGCACACTTTCCAAACTTACACTCTTCATCTTCTGTCATGTCAATTATTAATTGGTATCCACATGAACTTGGCTCTCCTCCTTTACCTTCGGGACTACACTTTTTGGGGAAGAAAAGCATTTTAAACTCAACAGAAATAAAAACTGCGCTTGATAAGTTTTATCACTGTAGTCGGCAATATTCAGGCACCTTATCCTACCTTCAGAATTCAAAGAAGTCATCTTTTTGCCAGTTTGAGTCACAGCAAGCTACAAAATTGTCATGGGCCAAGCTAAAGAGCACTGTGCCTCTCATTTATCAATTAGTTGACCGGATGCATTTTTCCCAGTCGGAGTATGAAGATCTTCTGAAATTAGTAAGTGCTTTTCTTAGTAGACTGAATTTTGCTAGGCGAACTTTGAAAAGCATACTTTCATTTTTCCTTTAATCAATATTTCCAGGCTAACAACTTAGATCCGAACTCTGGCCAGGATCTACAGTCTCAGTATAGAGATATTGCTTGCAAATGGCTTCGTTTGTCTCCGACTCGTTGGGTTTCGTGGACAAAAGGTTGGAATAAAAAGCTAAATCTTACGGTTGCCGGACTTTTCGCTTTCTATGGGAAATGGGTAGTTTCGAATTTAGACCATGGTAAGAGTTTCTTCATTATACTCAGTCTTCTTCCACCCCAGTCGTGTTCCTTTTGTTAAATCACTGTCAGGTCACACCTTGAAGGTGAAGCTGATGCATTTAAACCCACAAATTATCACCAATGTACCCGGTTTTATACATAATATATCCAATTATTATTTGTAAGTTTCAGTTAAAAAACTAAATGACTGTAATTAGAATAGACTACTTAAGTTTCAGCTAAGAAGTTTTTATTCGGTAGTTGTTTTACATAGTTGACAAAATTTCATGTGGATCTTTATTTTGACGTTGTAATCGAATGTTGAGGAAAATAACAATGCTTTCCAGGTTTATGCACCAGCTTGTAAACCACATTTAGTACGTATGTATTTCCGGTGCTACTTAGTTATTATTATTATTATTATTATTATTATTATTATTATTATTATTATTATTATTAGCTTTATTCAATATTATAATTTTGGTACAATATAGAATTCTCAGCGCAAAGTATTTCAACAAGTTTCCGTTTCTTTCTTCTTGGTCGGTCCTGGCGATAAATATTGAGGGATCGCCAGTTAGATGTTAGCACTTCAGTGAATGAACAACTGAATAATGTACATTCTTTTCGTTGTATATTGCCAGCAACCATATTGTCTCTTATTGAGTTTTCTGTAACTTTGACAACGAAAGGTTGTACACTTTTCAGAAACGCAGCAGAATAGGTTATGCGATTAATAAACATAATGATATATTAAAACAAACAACAATAGAAAACTTGTTGAAATATCTAGATGTCAGGAACAGGTAGCCCAGATGCTCAAGCAGGCCGCGGAAGTGGTTTTTAATCTCGTCACTTGATAATAGAGAAAATATAGCAAAGACAGATGAGTCATATCTTTGGCTATGATTCAAGTCAAATGCTATGGTTTTTAACAAATTTTGCACTATTTCCTTAGCATTATTTCCCTGTTTCCTGACATTTCTGTTACCAAATATAATGAACACAATATGAATACAACACTTGATGTAGGATTACTTTTAGTGCAGATGCTATTAGTCAGTACAGATGATACAGTATTGCTGGGATACAAATATAAATACCGTTTTTATTATAATTATACGCCTTGTTTTTCTCAACAGAGGGGACATCTTAAAAATTGAACAAGCAATTAATATCAACTTATCATTTTTCTGATATATTCAAGGATATTAAATGTTGTTTCGACAATTCCCATTTTTGTGCGTTCGTCTTCATCGTTTGTATTTATAACTCCTTTATTAACAGTTTATATAATTTACTGACTGTTACAGTGATCTAAATTCAACATCTAAATTGACTATCTCAAACTTGTACTCTCCAGACATTTCAGTGTGATGGTATATTATACTTTAAAATTGTTTTTACCACTATTTCCCACCAGGATTCAAAAGATTTTAAATGCAGTCACTATAAACCCAGCTTTTGTCCCTACTTAAATGGCTTTCTTCAAAGTGGACCTTTTATATAATTTTTTTCTTGGAATTTGGTCGTCCAGAACAGTAATATTTTGTCTCAGTGGTGGATTAAGCGTACTGATTTGACATCTTAATAAGTAATTATATCTTGTTACTTCATAATGTAAGTATTAAGCTTTGTAGTTATTGTTATCATCCCGATTATTGACATATTGTAACCGGTTTCAGCGTGTTAGCACTCCAACGAAGTTCATTGCATACATCATTTTCTAGGTAATATGGCAATTGTGTTATTATTAAACAACATGATGATCCACTACTATTTAAAACTGATTGACATTTTGAGTTACAGTGTGCCATACCGCTACAAATTTAAAAATTAATTTTTTCAAAACTATATTTTTAAGAATTAAGTTTTTTAGAAAAGTCTCAGTCAAAATTATTGCATATTTATATTTCTGTTAATGAGTTACAGCGAATCTCTAATTATGAATAATCACCGCACTTATTAGGCTTTATAGTTTTAAATCCTACTTCTTGTTAGCTAATCATTGCTTACACCAAGCAAATGTTCTAGGCAATTCTTCTATAGATTATGGTAAAAAGTTTGCACGTTTCATCACAGTGACATTTTCAATTGACAAATTCATGATCACTCCTTAATAATGACATTACTTATGTCTTGCCGAATCATAAATGTATTTGATGAACCTTTGGTATTCAGATTACTCATTACATTTCCATATTTTTCAATTATCTTTCATAGTTGCTGAACAAGCTATTAATTTTGTCAATCATAACCCTGATTACTTTAGCAATACTGAATATGCATTGACGCTAGACGTTCGTAATCTTACCTGTTCTCAGGACGTTGTACTAAACGATTACTTTGATTTATTGACAGCTTCAAAAAATAGGAAAATTATTGGAGTGATCGGCAAGTAGATTTTTTTTCTGTTTAATTTTATGTGAAATATACATCTAATTACCTATTTGTTGTCAAAAAACTCAATTTTTCCTTTCACTTTTATCGGTTTGGAGGCAATTAATAATGCCTGTATTTATACACTGTTTTGTGCTTTGAAGTACTGCTTGTTAGTTTTTTTAATTATTATTGCAAATTACACTATGATCTGTACGTTTCCAAGACATCATTAGTCTTTCATTAAAATAGGCACATTAGAATGCTTGAACGGTATTTCCAAATGTTGTGGTTTTTGCAAATAAACAGCCGCAATAAAGTTGTGTAACTGACTATTACAGTGGTTCAAGTTGCTACATTCTCTATCAGTACAAAACGGGAGATATTACAAACAAATAAAGCACCAGTAAAAGTTCAGTAAATAAAAATAATTTGTTCGGGTAAAATAGAGATTAGAGTAAATAGGTCTATTCATTTGTGACTGATTACATTATTTCACCTATCCGAAGTACCGTGTTTTGTCGAAACTCATTCTTATATAAACAGGCGTTCACTATTTTAACTGGTCTCAAATCATTTATGGTTATGGTAGTCTTCTTTTTAAGCGTATCTTTGTTTTTACGTCATAGATATTTGTGCTCGTTATCATATTTATTCTTTCTGATTAGTTTTGGTAAAATAATCATTACTCTGTGTTCCTAAAACCATTTGTTTGTAAGTAAACCCAAAAAATTTAAACGCACCCCACACTGAGAAACCTTACATAAAGTAAATCACAGTTTTGAGCAGGATCAAAAACAAGGTAAAATGTCAGATTTGACACCTGAATAATTTTCAAACCATAGAAATTAAAACTTGTCTGATCAATATTTAAAATATCCGGTTGTTCAAATGGTTGATTACACCATCTGGTTTTTGAAACCATTTACCTTATGCATAAATTATTAAATTTTCTCGTCACTTAGATTGCTTTAGTTCTTTTTTAATTGCTTGAATTTACAACTATTAAAATGATCCGTATATCACTTGTTTTTCACAAACTAGCTGCTCTGTGTTCGGATTCAATAGAACCAGTTGTTGAGGTAGCTAACATGCGTCGCCAGATTGTTGTTAGTCCAACCGTTGAATCAGTCCGCTTTGCAAAACGTCATCAGTATCCGTACTTTTTTCGTACTGTTCCATCAATGACACATGTGAGGTATGTGGTTCTAGTGAGTGTTATTCAACCTAGCTTTTTGTATTTTTGTTCACCTGGTCAAATCATATCGACTGAAATTTGGTTACATACTCTAGGCAGGTTTTATGCACAGTTCAACTAAAAAGCCTATCGACGCTATTCATAAAAATCTAACAAGGTGTCTCTTATCTTTTTCAATCTTTTGCTAAAAAGTTAGTCACGGTTACTAATTATCTCAATAAAACGCTTTAAGGGCAATCACGTAAATTTAAACTTATTAAATATGACATTTTAAGATATGATTCTTACCCAAGTACGAACACAAACTCGGTTAACACCTCCATAGAATACTAAAGTAACTTTATCGTCTAAACCTGTAATCTACGACAAGAATTTTTTACTCAGCATTACTTATCTAGTGTAAGGTACATTTATTAAGTAGACATTCCATTCACAGCCGGTTGCGGTAAAATTTGGTCCGGTCATTCGGGTAGTATTTTGAGTTTTTTAGACATTGAATGTGATACGGTATCATAAAGAAACCTGTACGTAGTTGCTGTATTGTAATCAGTACTGCTGTGTATTTGATTAGCGTTTAGAGTGATTTTAGCTCTCACAATACAAACTCGTGTGTACCTTCATTTGTAAGGGCAGTAAACCACTTAGAATTAACTAACGTACATTTCCTGTGCATATATACTACTAAAAACTTGTTTTCTTTTCACTGATAGGTGTTATCGTGTATTCTACATTCTATTCCCTTTTTTCTTTATTATACATCGCGAAATATAATCAGGAAATTAATTTGACTGTTTTACTTTTTTGTTTAGCTTAATCTTGATTAGATTATTCAGTAGTTGGGGTTGGCGTCGTGTTGCTGTGTTTCGTGAAGACGATCATTTCTTTGACCCTTTGATTTTTCAGTCGAATGGTATAGATCTTATTGCTGACTTTGTAATGAAGGAAAATCAACTCACATACGTTACTGTACATCAAGTATGTCATTTCCTCGAAATATAGTAGATATACTCAAAGCAAATTTTATCTATTGGATTTTAAAATCGCATTTTGTGATTTTTCTCACTAAACTATTAAGTACAATAAATAGGTCAACTCGTTCTTCAAGTACACCTGTATTTGAGCCACCCGAATCATCAGGACTAATAGTACAACCTGTTTCCCTAAATTTATGTAGACGAAACGGGATTTGAACTCAGGACCAAGTAACTAGAAATCTAACACCTTAATCATTTAGCTAATGCTAGGATCATTAAAATTACCTTCATTAAGATTCACACGATAAACAAAAACTATTATAACCTTAAGTAATTGCGTTAATCGATGGAGTATTTGTTTTTTAAATTTCCTGAAACTCAGACAATATAAAGTGTGAATATAACTTCTGAGAGCAGAGGATGAGATGAAATTTTGCAAAAAAATTTGTACATAGACAAGTGATATGTTTTATATGTGACCCACATATACAGTTTTATTTGTTTATGCTAAGGTAAACTTTTCGTGTATTTCAGCGTATAATATTGTCCACTTAATCTGGCCAAAATGAATTGTACAAAGTTGGGATCCATAATTCAATGACCATATAATATATTAATAAAGGTCAAATTCACAGTAAAAAAGAAAATATAGTCTAGTGTTTTCCACAATTCCAAGTTTTCTCTTTATTTTATTGTGGATGCATGAACTCAGCGTTATACAAAAAGTTAACTTTTGAAAAATTAATTACAAAAATACGAAGCTGTTTTTAAAAAAACCGATGTGACGCATCTCAAGGATATTAAAAGAAATGTCAACTATGTTTACAATACTGTCTAACCATTTCATCTTCGACATAAGGTCAACGATCTTTCTGAGCTTTGCTTTAGAGTTTGTTTGAGTTCAGGAAAGAATCGCTGACTTACCGAGTTTTACTGTTAGTAATTAATAATATTATGCTTTTCAAATATTGGATTCTGTTATCAGTTGCTGAAACAAGTGCATGATCTCGGGAAATGAAAAGTACAGTATGGTGTTACATTCAGTTTTTAAAGCAAAGTTTATTATTAATAATAAATAATCCAAGTGATTTAAGTAGATTCGGTCTTTGGAAAATGTGTTTTGATGCTTTTGTCCATGCAATAAAAATTTTAAAGTTTCAAAACAGGTTACCTATTTCATTTATCCAGTGAAATTCAGAAAAGTTGCCCTCACTTTTATAAAGGAAGTCAAGGAAAATTACACTAGGATCACCACTAGCTTTCATTCTGAAACATGTCTGATAACGTCTGAGTCCACTGAACTGCACTATCTCCAGGACCCTAACCGAGGTGTCGAACGTTTTACTATAAAATGGCATTGATTCTATAAACATTTTGATAATAATTTTTTTGTCGTTTATACATATTTGACAATGATAGTAGTTAATTCCAATTATTTTAGGCTTTGAAACTTATGAACGATCGTACTAGTCGTATCTTCATGGTTGAATATTTTGCTAAAGGTACAGCCATCATATTATGTGCTGCATATCACTTAGGAATGCATTTTGATGCAGGCTATGTGTGGTTTCTTAATCCTTGGTTATCAAGCAATTGGTGGCAGGCACCTGATGTGCATCCCAGAGAATGTACTCATGAAGAAATGCATAACATAACTTCGTGGACTTTTACGGTTGGACATCAATTGATCATGGAACCATTGGCTCACAAATTTATGCCTCCTTCATTTAACGATGTGAATTTATTTGCTTTTGACTCATCGTCTCATAAGCAACAGGGCACTGGTCGACGATTCCGTCGGTATTCAACTCAGTATGCACAAGATTTGCGGATTCGTAAATTCAAGCATCCCTTATTTAATGGTCATTTTACAAATAACTATGACGATTCACCTTCAGATTCCGAGTTACAACGTTCAGTTTTTAATACGAAGAGTGAAGACGTTGAGTACGTTCATTCTTCTCATGATTACGCAATACATACATATGAATCTGTTATTGTTCTAGCTGCAGCACTTATTCACTTATTACATCAAAATCCAAGTGCTATTTCCGTTTTTGAATCAATGTCAGTTGCGGAGGCATATCGAGAGTTAGTTTTTGAAACAGACTTTAGATATACTATTTCGTCAAGATTCATTATGGATGATTCTTTTACAAATCCAGTTATTTCATTGGACACAGGTTTCCACTATGTTTACCGCAAAAATGAAATTAAATCAGCTTCTCAATTACGTTTTAATAATTTAAATGAGCGTGTTGCTGATTTTTGGCTTCTTAAACAACATCAAATCAATATCACTGTTCCCATTGTATTATGGAGTTTAGACCAAGAGTTTATAAGCGACGATAATTCTATGCCTTTGAGTTCTTTAATGGATGCAGCTGATCTGACTAACTTAGCGGCTTCTGAGCGTTTTGCCCAACTAATGGGGGAACGCTGGATTAACGATGTGAATTGGGGTAATAACGATGGACCACCAGATGATGGATCAGAACATGACGATGACTGTGTGTTTGGATTCGTAAGCAGAATTTTCGGTGTGAATTGTACTGGTTCTACTGTGATCGCTACTATTTCGATCGTGCTCTCTGTAACAGTATTATGTTTAATCCTGTTTATTGTTTACTATCGACGCAAACTAAAGAAAACACAATTAAGAATTCGTCAACCATATGAAAACCTTTGTAATGAACTAAAAGATATTGATGTAAGTACACGTCACTAGTGAATCATTTTGTCATTTAGTGTACTACTATCTTGATCCTAGCTACCGTTTGTTCATGTTAAAACTCATCACTGAAGGTAAATACCAAGCACCTGTGTAATTGTGATTTGATAACTTTTAGTATGCAGTCGGTCATACGCACTACACATTTTTCTAAATAGTTTTTGTTCAGAAGTAAGAATTAAGATTTTTATCTTTATCCATTTATCTAAACTGCTTCGGTTTAAGAAAACATATAGAGAATATTAAAATCACAGAAACATCCTTAAAGTATTCTTCCCAAACGATTCAAAATGCTTCAGATAAAACTCTTCCATCCTGTCACATAGATTTGAATATTTATATCGATTCGCGACTGCGTTTTCTGGGGTATTTTTTTAAGCAAGTTATGTTACATAGCGGTACAACAACGTGTAATATTCACAATTAGCAGGTTGCTCAAAAGTTAAATTTTCATGTGAACTATTTCCAGATTGTTAAAATACATAATTACTACTCGTGTCACAGAGTATTGAAATGTATAATAGCTCTTAATTCTCAGTTACATCTCATTCTTCCAATCTATGCCTGAATTTATCCCAACTGTTGATTACTCAGTGGTTCCTTTTGTCATGAATGATAGGAGTAAGATTTGCACAACTTTATGTCACATACTTTCCCCAGTGATAGTCTTTTATAAGCGAATAAAAATAGAAGAGATGTCATGATTTAGTAAATATCTATAAAGCTTTAAAACGAGATTAGATATTCAAAGTTTTCTTTTTTGTCTTAAACAGTTACATTTCACTTAACTTTGTAACTATAATAAGTCTAGTTCCATGTTTCTTGTTACGGTCAGATTCCACCTGCCGACATAGTTTTGAATCGTCGTGTTGGTCAAGGAGCATTCGGTATGGTGTATGGCGGTGAAGCGAAACGCAATGGGCGTTGGGAAGCAGTAGCTGTTAAAGTGATTGGTAACAAAGCTACATACGAAGGGAAAACAGATTTCCTTTCGGAAGCAAAACTAATGAGAAGTCTAGACCATCGAAATGTTGTACGTTTAGTTGGTATCTGTTTGTATCCGAAGGAAAATCATCTTTATTTAATCATGGAATTTATGCTAAATGGTGATCTGAAGACGTATCTTCTATCTCGGCGTGTTTTAGCTCAACAGTACGTTTAACAGCACTGTAAACTTTTTCACTTTTGATGACAGTTGTTGATTTTATACCTACTGAAAGGTATGCTAACTATACGAACATATTCGTTCCCAAAGTATGCCTCTATTCCCTATCCACTGTATTCCATCTGTCGGGTAATATATTGGTACTACTACTTCACTGATACCTTAACGTGGTGGTCGGGCTTGCATATCGTGATAAACCAATCGGGCTGTATTGGCTGGAACAGTCGTTCCTCAAGGTCCTGCCCTCAAAAACCTTAGTACATCCTAGGGTGGGGAGAGTCCGCTCTCCCTCGCGAAATGCTGTCACATGGCCACGCGTGTACGACCACTGCCAAGAATTTCCTACTCACTGCCTTCTCCCGGCGGGGTGTTGTTTACGAAATTGAGAGGATGAAAAGCGAATGTCCGGCACTTTAACCGGTTTGGTGGACATGAAGGGTCTACCTAGGGGAGTTGGGAAACCCTGCTTTCAAACCAAAGATGCACATGGGTTTCAGGATTCTGAGGGAACAAATGGTGTATGATCTAATTATTGGCCACCGGCTACCATGATACTGCCTCTACTGATGTTGTTCCACTGCCTTGTGAATGAAACCCTTAGCTCAAAGGTTCGGGGTGTGGCCCCCTAAGAAAACCATCTACCTCGGTCTGGGCACCCGTGCAGTATCACAGCCCATATACAAATCAAATGACTTGTGTGGTGCATATGTATTCGGTCCCTCTTTTGTACCAATATTTAAGTTTAAATAAAAAAATAACACGTATGTGACCGACCCCAAGAAGTTGTCCCTTAGGCCCTAATGTCACACTCACAAGTCCCTAAGACCACCTCTTTCCTAATTTCCTTTTCACGTACCTCTAGAAAAACCCATCCACGGTGTGGGAAACCGGGGAGTGATAACCGTCCTCATACCTCTAACAGCATACAAGTTTACTGTATTCATAGTCGATCTTCTTCTTTCATTTCTATTATCCCTCCTACATCGATTTTTTTAGCTCTGAACTTCCTCCTCTAGTGTCACCATAGCCAGCGATTCTAGTGCGCGAAACACTGTCCACGTCTACTGAAACCTCGCTACAAACTACACATTGGAGCCTTCGACGTACGCACCCTATGTCAAATCGGTCAGCAGGCTTCCTTGGCTAAAACCCTAGAATCTCGTACCATTTACGTATGCTGTGTCTCCGAAACACACATACAGGATCCTAGTGTGGTCATTCACTTGACCCCACCTCGCCAAAACGGAGAGCCGACAAGACACACTATCCGTGTATCTGACGACTCCATGGCTGATTCTTGTGGACTGGTAGGTGTGAGAATAGCACTAAGCATGAGGGCGAAACAAGCACTGTTAGAGTGGATGCCCGTTAACAGTTGTCTATGTGCTGTTCGGCTAAACGACTCCGTAAGAACTCGGAAGGATATGGACACACGTCGTTGCCTTTTCGTCGTTTCTGCCTACGCTCCCATTGACTGCAGCCCGGATGAAGTGAAAGATGACTTTTACAGAAAGCTTTTTAAACTGCTTCATAAAACTACGCGATCAGACATAGTACTCATAGCAGAGGCCCTTCATGCCAAGGTAAGTAGCTGAAACAAAACAGAAAGATATTTAGGTGGGTATTTTAGGATTCCTGCTCAGCGAACAGGTGGTTACCGTCTGCTGCAACTGTGCTCAGACAATCGCTTATTTTTAGCAAACACAAATTTTAAGCATAAGGAGAGACATCGTCCAACATGGTGACCCCCTGCACCAAACGAACGATGGACGTACGTACATCATTTAAAGTTGACGTACCACATTAACACAGAGATACAATTGTTCATTTAAATTCCATTGTGGTGGAGTTAGTGAAACTATAAACAGTAATAGAAAAGATTAGGGTTTCAGGGTGTTATTCAAGGAGTATAATCCAGTGATTAAAATTTCGAAAGAAAGAAAGGACATTAAGAATTCAGAAGATTAGAATTTGGGAGAACATAAAGGGTGGATGCACTTGCACCATTGCAAACGATTTTGAACCATGTCATTCATTGTCTATAACCATCCGTTGCTATCTCCCAATTATATCAACAGATGAAGTTTCACTAATTCAACTGATCTGCCATCCTTATCTAGTCTCAAGATACGAGCAATGCTCGAATACTAGTCACCTACGGATGCTCTCTCTCTTACTGGCCATGTTTCACTGCCATAATGTATAACTGAAAGAACTGCTGCACAGTAAACCTGTCCTTTGTTTGGTAGACGGATGTCTAGCCTACGCCATAAATGATGCACGTAGGCAAAAGCTAGTCGAGCCTTCTGTATCCGTGCTGAGATTTCGTCACACACCAGACCACAAGGGCTAATGAGACTCCCAAGATAAGTGAAGCGGTTGACACGCTCAACTACTTCACTCCCTATCATTAATTCGGGTGTCAATGCAACCCGATCCTCAAGCAGTATTTCGCGTTTCGAGGGAGAGAATCGCATGCCGAATATGCTTACATTGTTGCTTAGAGTGGTCAGAGGACTGCATTTTGTCAGCATCTTCACCAAATAGAACTGTCATCAGCATATTCTAGGTCAAAAAGTGAATTTCCCGGTAAAAGTCCAACTCCTGGAAATTTAGATGAGGAAAGTGTTATCTCTAAAAGCACGTCGACGAAAAAGTTGAACAAGAATGGAGAGAGTGGACAGCCCTGACGAACACCACTTGAGGTAATCAATTCTGATGACGATTCGCCATAAGCTCTCACTCTACCAGTTGTGTTCGAGTAGAGAGCCTTTATAAGGTTAATGTACTTCTTTGGTACTCCTTTCAGTTATAAACACTGCTATTGAACCTCGAATACTGGCTTATGGTCGAGAAATACTACGATTGTGGGGCGTCTGAATGTGTGTCTGTGTTCTGGAACCTAACGTAGTGTGCATATCTGGTCTATACAACCACGTGCAGATTGAAAACCAGTCTGGTTTTCTCTATTCTGCTCTTCACGAGCTTTAGTTATGCGTCGAAGTATTATTGAAGCTAATGTTTTAGACACTATATTAGTCAAGCTTTTTCCTCTGTGGTTGTCACAAGAGGACTTTTGTCCTTTCTTATAGACTGGCACGATCAGTGATTGAGACCAGTCAGATGGGATTACGTACAGTTCCCATATTCTACCTAAGACCTCGGTCAATCTCTCTACTAATACTGGACCACCATCCTTAAAAACTCAGGGTTAAACCTTTCAGGGCCTGCTGCTTTCCCTCGCTTCAGATTTTCTATAGCTTTTTCAATTTCCTAAAGAGTCTGAGGATTTTCATTAACTTGCCATTTAGGGTGACTGCAGATCGTGAGAAATAGAAGTGTGGCTGAAAGTCACTTCAACTGGTCCCTAAAGTGTTCACTGCCATTTACATAGCTTTTCGGATATCATTCCATGCTGCCTCGGGGTGGGCACCACTTACATGGCTGCCCAACTGTTTTTCTATTTGTTACTGATATATATTCTTAGCTTGGCTATCATTAAGTAGAACTCTAAGAGGTTTCCTTGAAGCGTCTTTCCTACGTCCAGTAAGACGCAGACAGATACGCTCTCGCACTATAGCATGATTTAAATCTAAACATGTGCTCAAAAACGAGCGACAGTCTTCCAGCGAACCCCTACATCGGTGGTTGATGGAGATGTGATATAGTTGGGTCCAACATTGGGATGAGTTCTGGGATCGTCATGTCAAAATGTGTTTTTCTTTATGCTTAAAGTTAGTATTTGCAAGGAACAAGCGGTTATTTAAGCATAGTTGCAACAAACGGTCGCCATTATCTGTTCTTTGAGCCACGATGCTTTAAAATCCACCCAGGTGTCTTTCCCTATACCTTAGTTTACCTACTTCAGCATTAAAATCACCAGCGACTATTAGTACATCCGAGCGCCTAACTTTTGGGAGGAGATTGGATAGCTTTCTGTAAATCTCATCTTTTACCTCATCTGCGCTGCAGTCAGTGGGAGAGTATTCAGAGACGACGAAGAGGCAACGGCAAGTGTCCATATCTTTCTGAGTTCTTATTGTTCCGTTTAGTTGGACAGAGCAGAAACGACTATCTACTGGGATCCAGTCTAAGAGAGCTAGTTCTATTCTAGGACTCAACGCTATACCTACACCAGCGAGGCCACGGGAAGCAGAATCAAGGCTTCCAGATACACAAAGCGTGAATCGAGATGACTTTATTTTGATATGGTGAGGTCAAATGAATGACGCTACTCGGAGACGCAGCACACATTTATGGCGCGAGATTCTAAAGTCCTAGCTAAGGAAGCCTGCTGTTTTATTTGGCACAGTGTTCGGACGTCAAAAGCTCCTACATGTAGTTTAGAGCGTGGTTTCAAGATATCAGGAATAACGTTCCGCGTACTCGAATCGTTTGCCCTAGCGGTGCGAGGTGATAAAGAAACGTGCGAAGGGATAATCGTGGAGATAAGAAAGTTATTAGGTGTAGGAAGGATTTGATTGTGACCAGCTTGGTCTCGAGTACTTTTACGGGTATGAGGGTTGATGTCACTTCATGGCTGTCCACACCATGGAAAGGTATTTCTTGAGGAACCTGAAAGGGAAGTCGGATTAGTGTTGGTCTTAACGGTCTGGGAATGTGACTGCAGAGCCCAAGGGACAACTGCTTGAGGACGGCCGCGCACGGCCTTTTCGTGGGAAGGTTTTAACGTGTTAGCTCTGTTTTTCAAAAGGCCTTACCACCAGAGACAGAAATCCGTGAGGTAAGGTGACTAATATAGCATCTAAAATACTAGCCTGAATAATTATCGGACGCCTAACAAAGACCCGTGAACTGCAAACCCGAGAAAATCAGACTGACTTCAGACGTGGTCGTGGTCGTGGCCGCATCGACTACATATTCACCATTCGTCAGAACACAGGAATGCTTATCGGCAACCGACAATGATAGTATTTCTTGACCTAAAAGCAGCATTCGCCGCTGTAGACCGAGATTTTTTGTGGCAGTGTTCGTCATTGAAACGCGTACCTCCGAAGTACACAGACCATGTGAGGGTTCTTTACCTGAACACTACCAGTCGAATGATAACTTATGGCGAACTGTCATCTGATTTCACAACTCCAAGTGGTGTCCGGTAAAGCTGTCTACTATCTTAATTTTTGTTCAACTTCATCATAGACACTGCTAGAAATAACGTCCTAATCGTCTGAATTGTTGAACATTGATCTTCAACAAGGAGGTCCACTTAATGACACAGAATACGCAGATGACATAGTCCTGTTTGGTGAAGACGATAATGAAATGCAGAGTGTTTTGTAAGCATTGAGCAACAATGCCAGAGTTTCTGGGATGCGTTTTCACCCTCTAAACTCACGTTGTTCCATCAGGACTGGCCTGTGTCTACACCTGAACTGAGGATAGGGAGTCAAGTAGTCAAACGCGTCGACAACTTCACTTACATTATCTTGGAAGTCTCATCGGTCCTAATGGGTTGGTGTCTGGCGAAATCTCTGCACGGATTGTTTATTTATTTATTTATTTGAACACATAAATATTGGTACAAGAGAGCGCCAATATATATGCGCCACACGGATTGAGAAAGCTCGCTTGGCTTTTGCCAACTTACGTCACATGTTTCGAAGGCGAGATACCCGTCTGTCAATGAAAGGATGGGGATACTGCTCAGTAGTCCGTTCTATTTTACTTTACGGCTGCGAAACGTCGCCATAAAGGGTACTTGTTAGTTACCATTATTCGATCTCAGGTGTCTTAGAAATATTGCTCGCATCTGCTGGGAACACTGAGTAAGTAGTAGTGAGGTAAGACGCAAAGTATTTGGGAATGATGGTAAATCAGTTGATGAGGTTGTAAATCTTCATCGACTGAGGTGGTTGGGTCACGTGTTACGCATGCCTGAACACCGATTACCACGACGCACAATGCTGACTAGTGTTAGGCATGGTTGGAAGAAAGTTAGAGGCGGCCAAACCAAAACGTGGCATCAGTCCATAAAGTCACTATATTATATTATATTATCGGTTGTAGAGTATAAGTGGTGACGTGCACGAGAACCTGAAATGAAGAATGAATATTTGTAGACCCACAGTAGATATGAACTGCTTTTTCTCTTTAAAACTTTATGTCTTATATCTTACTTTGACACATATGAATGAAAATATTTCTCCATCACTATTCATATATTATCCCGCATAAACACCTATAATAATTTACTAATCTATTTAAAATATAAGTTGTTCAAGTTTTCAGATACTGCCACCTTGATATTTTTGTGAAAATAATTCTGAATGGAGTTTGATTTACCTTCCTGTCAGTCGTTATATAATGAAATACATATTACAATTGGGTTTTTTGTTCTGATTAGATGTTACTTGGAGATTTGGTATGTTACAAACTTCAAACAAAGAAATTACTTACTAACGCCTGTTACACCTCATGTAGCGTATGCCACTGACCAGGATTATTTTAACTATTGTGTTCCGGGCTCTCCTTTCCAATTGTTCTCAAGTGCTATTCATTCTTTAGATGCCTGCTCCCAATCCTCTGAGCTATATGTTATTTGGTCTGCTTCTCTTTCTTTTGCCTTAAGGATTCCATGTTAGGGTTTGATTTGTGACGCGGCTCGATGATCTCTGAATAGTGAGAGAGGGAAAAACGCATCCCAGAAACTCTGGCATTGTTGCTCAATGCTTACAAAACACTCTGCATTTCATTATCGTCTTCACCAAACAGGACTATGTCATCTGCGTATTCTGTGTCATTAAGTGGACCTCCTTGTTGAAGATCAATGTTCAACAATTCAGACGATTAGGACGTTATTTCTAGCAGTGTCTATGATGAAGTTGAACAAAAATTAAGATAGTAGACAGCTTTACCGGACACCACTTGGAGTTGTGAAATCAGATGACAGTTCGCCATAAGTTATCATTCGACTGGTAGTGTTCAGGTAAAGAACCCTCACATGGTCTGTGTACTTCGGAGGTACGCGTTTCAATGACGAACACTGCCACAAAAAATCTCGGTCTACAGCGGCGAATGCTGCTTTTAGGTCAAGAAATACTATCATTGTCGGTTGCCGATAAGCATTCCTGTGTTCTGACGAATGGTGAATATGTAGTCGATGCGGCCACGACCACGACCACGTCTGAAGTCAGTCTGATTTTCTCGGGTTTGCAGTTCACGGGTCTTTGTTAGGCGTCCGATAATTATTCAGGCTAGTATTTTAGATGCTATATTAGTCACCTTACCTCACGGATTTCTGTCTCTGGTGGTAAGGCCTTTTGAAAAACAGAGCTAACACGTTAAAACCTTCCCACGAAAAGGCCGTGCGCGGCCGTCCTCAAGCAGTTGTCCCTTGGGCTCTGCAGTCACATTCCCAGACCGTTAAGACCAACACTAATCCGACTTCCCTTTCAGGTTCCTCAAGAAATACCTTTCCATGGTGTGGACAGCCATGAAGTGACATCAACCCTCATACCCGTAAAAGTACTCGAGACCAAGCTGGTCACAATCAAATCCTTCCTACACCTAATAACTTTCTTATCTCCACGATTATCCCTTCGCACGTTTCTTTATCACCTCGCACCGCTAGGGCAAACGATTCGAGTACGCGGAACGTTATTCCTGATATCTTGAAACCACGCTCTAAACTACATGTAGGAGCTTTTGACGTCCGAACACTGTGCCAAATAAAACAGCAGGCTTCCTTAGCTAGGACTTTAGAATCTCGCGCCATAAATGTGTGCTGCGTCTCCGAGTAGCGTCATTCATTTGACCTCACCATATCAAAATAAAGTCATCTCGATTCACGCTTTGTGTATCTGGAAGCCTTGATTCTGCTTCCCGTGGCCTCGCTGGTGTAGGTATAGCGTTGAGTCCTAGAATAGAACTAGCTCTCTTAGACTGGATCCCAGTAGATAGTCGTTTCTGCTCTGTCCAACTAAACGGAACAATAAGAACTCAGAAAGATATGGACACTTGCCGTTGCCTCTTCGTCGTCTCTGAATACTCTCCCACTGACTGCAGCGCAGTGAGAGCTTATGGATAACTGTTATCAGGATTGATTACCTCAAGCGGTGTTCGTCAGGGCTGTCCACTCTCTCCATTCTTGTTCAACTTTGTCGTCGACGTACTACGGTTTTTGAATCGACCACTGCATCTCTGTGCTAAGGTTGTGTGTCAACTAGAACCAATGTACGTACGTTCGTACGAAGTTCTACGTTGTTACTGACTGACTAAGTATACTGTTTACCATTCTTGAATTATGCCCTGTTTATTAATCACTTCCGCCCACATTCGCAGCCACATTTGACCAAATCTTTTACGAATGTTGTTTCATATTTTATGTTACGATGCTGTTGCATGAAACAGTCGTACATTGAGCAAGCTTTAATCCAGTCTATGTGCTGTTTGGTTGGTATATAATCCCTGTGTTTTTGAAATAAGTGATTCATATTGCAGAGACAGATTGGTGTTCTTGACCTAACTGGGTGGTCTAGGCAGGAAGCAAGACTGATAAGTACCCTAGACTTCTCATACGGGTTCTGGGCGTCATTTATCCGATCGACAATTCACTGTTCTCTAATTGGTGGTATCATTACGTTATAAATTGGTAAGACATTCAGGCCACAAGTTATAACAATCTCCCATAATTTTTGATATAGCTTTTCTTTAGTATCTTAATGAGGTGTCTTTCCAGTCTGTTTGTACATGTTCTTCTTCTCAAACATTTCTAAAGCGAATGTGTTCGAGCATCTTTGCAATCACTCGTATGTCTGACTTTGGTTCTTCAGCTTGTACGTTGTCTGGTCTTGCTGCCTTCTCACTCTTGATCTTTCTGATGATCATGTTGATTTCTTTGACTGTTGGTGCGGTAACATCTATATGTGTCTCATGTTTCCTTCTGTTTCAGCCTTTTCTACCGTCATTGTTAGGCCTTCCTCATCTTTGGAATTAGGTACCTACAGATAAATTTATTGAATAATTCTCTCTACTGTGGCATAAAGAGTCTTATCAGGGCTATAGTGAAAATAGGTAACTATGTATGTAGCCAACAATTATAATTTTTTTCCAAAATGTAACTAACTATAATTAGTACAAAAGGGCAAAATTGTAGTCGATTACAACGAGAGCAACAAGCACATTCATATAGAACAGTAGCACGGAATGCTACATGATATGTTGCAAATTTATGATTAGCTAGACTAATTATTAACTAGCATGTTTACTGACAGTGTGAGTTTATATTTATGTTGAATATCTTAAATGGATTCTACCGCTTGTCTTCTAATAAGCTAGATGTTACCATAAATCATCCACCTTATTTTAGAGTGCCTGATCATGACGGTGTTTGTCCAGCTACACTGACGGGTATGGCAATCGATATTGCTGAAGGTTTGGCTTACTTACACAGGAAAAATTTGATCCATCGTGACATTGCCTGTCGTAACTGTCTTGTTGGTTCTGATGGGGTTGTAAAAATAGGAGATTTTGGTCTTACTCGTGAAATGAATAGTAGTGAGAACGAAGGTTATTATCGTTTTACTCGTAACTGTAAGTATTGGAATAACTCTTCGTTTGTTTATATATTATTGTTCATTCTCCTAAAAATATTCATGTACAATTTGTGTCATAAGTGTTTTTTGCTGTCAAACTAAATAAAATATTTTTACTGCGTATGCTCGAATAATACTGTGTTTGTATTTCTAAAAGCTTTAGTTCTTTACAATCGGTTCGGGTTTATTGTTTCTTTGCAAACGACCATCATATAATGCATTCAAAAACATTCGTTCATTTTACTTTGAGACCTGTTTTCCTAAAGAGCTGTTGTTTTACTGTTAAATGAAACATTCCTCAAATACTGGTGTGCTCGTCGGAACCTCAACCGACGTAGTTTATCTTAGGCAGTCGTGTAGGGGGACACACACTTCAATTTGGTCTAAACAAAAGTGTACATACATGTATTTCGTAAATAATTTACGTTATTTTATCAACATTTCTAAATACAACTGTTATATGCATATATCATTGTGTGAAACATATTTTAGAAACGGATTTTTCGTATCTCTAGTCAATTAGGTGGTATTACTTTTTTGATTGATGTAAGTACAATGTGAAACTTATATCCTGACGCTGATGTTCTAAGCTAGAAAATAGTGTAGTATGCTGACAGCACGTTTTCTAGGTTCATACTGCAGTGTTAGTGTTACATTTGTTTCTGTTGCTTTCAACTTTTGGTTATCAATTTTTATAGGTGAACTCCCTATCCGTTGGATGTCTCCTGAAGCTGTCCAGTTTGGTGTATTTAGTGTTCATTCTGATATTTGGTCATATGGAATTGTTTTATATGAAATTATAACTTTTGGAGTGTTTCCGTATGATGGTTTAGGTGATGTTGAAGTTGTGGAGCGTGTAAAGCGTAAAGATTTTAGCATAATCGAATTTTTGCCTTTAGCAGCAAGAAACACTACTATGTAAGTTCCTTATTATTTGATTAGGTATGATTTTTTGTCTCGTAAGCTGTGCTATTTATCTACTAATATACTATATGTTACACCTGTTTTTGTTTGTCTTGCTATTTTTTCAGCTCTCGATTAATATATCAATGTTGTCAGCACCAATGGCAACATCGTCCGGCTTCACTTGATCATATTATAGCTATTTTGCGAAAAAATCCCGATTGTGTCCGCCCGTTTCTTACAAATGAACCACCGAAACCAAATAGTACTATTGACGCCCTTCGTGTAAGTTACTTCCGGATGTTATTTTCAGGATTCACACAATAAAAAGTCATTATTTTCATGCTCAGTTTTTCTTTTGTATCTTGATCATTGACTAGATCTTCCCTACGAGCAGTCTGACGATGATTATGTTCAAATACGAGCGCTAATATAATCTTGATCTTTGTGAGTAGCTTAGTTATGATCCTTTTTAAACGAAAATGGTTCAAAAGGGTTTGTAATTATGTAGGTACATGAATTTTTAAATTTTCCTTAGTAGAAAACGCTAATTGATTTTGATTAATGTATTATTAATTCTTTACAGTTAATTGTATATTCTACTCTTAGTAAAAGCGTTGGGCTAATGAATAAAATATTCAGTCTCCAAGTCTTACACTGTAACCCCTTTTCACCTACTTTAGTTTGGGCAACCGTATAGTAATAATAGCTTTCACACCGATTGTGCTTCATATTCTAATGTTTGGTGAATGAGTTATTCGTGAAACAAGTTTAATGTACTTTAAGTGTTGTCAATTACACATGAATTTTCTTAAGTTAATGTAAGTACGTAAAGACTTGTTAAAATTCAGTTTCGTCCTTATATTCTAGGAGTTTGCCATAGACACTCAGATTAATCGAATGTAACAAGATGTTTTAATAATTAGTCAGGAAGGCATGAATATAAGTATCCTCTAAATTATATATATATATATATATATATATATATATATATATATGCTCCATTGGGAGTAACAGGCGTAAGTAAGTAATATATATATATCATTTATGGTATAAGATATCCAAGTGATTTTCATTTCTGCCCGTCTTTTTGAGTTTTTACCTCCATACTGCAACCTTGATGATACACTGGTTTTTTGTTTTTGTAGCTTATTCACCGAAATACTTTCCTATCTGTCCTATATTTTGTAATATGTTTTTTTCGAATGTGACTGATTCTTATGATACTTTCTTGTATGATGGGAAGTGTTTTCTCTGTTTTTCTCTTATTGTATAGGGAGATATTATGAAGCTTACTTCTTCATTCTCTTTTCTATCTTGTTTAGTTTCAACCTGGTGCTGGTGCATGTATCATGTCGAAAAATACTCTTGCTTCTGGTGATCCATCTCCAAGCAACCCACTTACTTGTAATACTACCTCTGATGGCATTCATGGTTATCCAATAAGTTCTAGTATCCGAGGTGTTCTCAGTGCGACAGGTAGCTTGGGTGGTTCCGGAAAGTCTCCATTAGGTCATCATTCAGCGGATTCGTTTTCAGAGAATCTTAGTACATCTGCATTTCTATCATTTTTATCAGAAGCCCCTTTACAAAACTTAGGTCGACGTCGTCATAAGACTGCTGACGGTTCGACGACGGCCTGTCGGTACCATGGTATTCGCCGAGGTACTAGTTCTTCTTCATGCGGTCATACGTTTCGTAGTTCAGAACATAGTTCTGGCGATCGTTCTACCACTGAAGATCAACCACATCTTACCAGTGAAGTTCTGAGATTCCCTAATTGGCAGAAGTTTGATTCTTTTAGTCCTAAATCAACTATCTCATTTGAGGAAAGAAGGTTAAAAAATTACTCTAAAACAAGACATGGTAAACCAAGTCCAATCAGAAAAATATTTAGCAAACAAACTAGTCTAGGGGATGAGCACATGGAATTAGTTTTGCCAAAAAATCCAACCGATTATCGTCATGTTCAAGATTCGCTAAATCAATCTTTCGTTACACCTATAAGCTATCCCCAGGATGAATCAAAAACTAGAACTTCTCAAGGAGAAATCGTGTATGAATGTGAGAATTTTCAAAATGTTCAACGAGATAACAATTTAGCGTTTCTATCTTGGTAAGTATATTTGTCTAATCATTCTGCATGCAATACTTTTTGGTTATTGTTCTATTATATTATTTGCTCAACACTTCATTCAGAATTTGGGATTCATAGAAGTATTTAAGGTAGTAGAAATCAATATGTTTTGATTTAATCCTGCAGTCATTCTACATTTTCGACTGTTTTAGTGTCTGCACATTTATTGTTGAAAATCATGAAGAAATTCACGAGACAGTACTTTTGAATTGTCATTCATAAATAATTATTGCGTTGAAAAACGTGCTACGCTATAGATAATGGGGATGTATATAATATAAAATATGATAAATAGTGTGTTGATTAAATGAATGAAGGTCCTCAAATGCCCTAGTACATCCTAGGGTGGGGAGAGTCCGCTCTCCCTCGCGAAATGCTGTCACATGGCCACGCGTGTACGACCACTGCCAAGAATTTCCTACTCACTGCCTTCTCCCGGCGGGGTGTTGTTTACGAAATTGAGAGGATGAAAAGCGAATGTCCGGCACGTTAACCGGTTTGGTGGACATGAAGGGTCTACCTAGGGGAGTTGGGAAACCCTGCTTTCAAACCAAAGATGCACATGGGTTTCAGGATTCTGAGGGAACAAATGGTGTGTGATCTAATTATTGGTCACCGGCTACCGTGGTACTCTCCTGGACAGTATCACAGCCCATATACAAATCAAATGACTTGTGTGGCGCATATGTATTTCGTCCCTCTTGTACTAATTTTTGTGCTCAGTTAAATAAATAAACCGAATGAAGATATTAGTGATAGAAAATAAAGGAAAGCCTTAGCTTCTCTTCACAATTTTTATATATCTGTGCCACAGTTCATTGCGAAAACTTTCATATTCATTCAATAATTCGGTTCCTGAAGGAAATGAGGTCGCTGAATCTTTCGGTTTTTTGGTAATTTTTCTGACCTTATCGTTAACAAAAATATAATATATATCACTAACTGCTGATCTGTCCGTATTCCATTCTGCTTTACCATTAGTGGATAATCTTTCAAGAACTCATCATTTCAAATCACTGTTTGAATATATCCTGTTAGATAAATTTGAGATTACTTACAAATCTCCACAGGTAATAATAAAATTGGTATTGTGTTTTCATTGAGTATAATATGGTTTCCATGGCTACTCATGATGTAAAAACCAATAGGTTTATTGTGTTCATGTATATTACTTAACTGTAGAGCACACGATATCAACCTTTTTTACGGTCAGTTCGGTCATTTTTACTGTCTATCAGCTTTTTAGGTGTTTTCGATCATTGTTTTCCTATATGCAATTTACTGTACAAATTGTCCCATTAGTTTATCATAAAAGTAGCGAATAATATTTCCAAGGTAATTGGGAAACTTACGGTTTTCATTGTACTCCGGATCCAAGAAATTGAATAAATCTGTATCATAACCGTCCAAGTTGTTTATTTAGGAGTGGACTGTTTTTCAGCACTACATTTTATGGCTGTTGAAATTCATCTTCTGAACACTAGCAATTGTTATCCTTGTTCTTTAGACGATCGATATATATATAGATTAAAATTCAGCTAAGTTTCTGTATAGTTAAGGAATTTGCTTAGGAAACAACAATATTTCCCTACTTCAGTACTCAATATATGATAAGGGAATACAAACAGCTACTCCGAAAATGCGCTGGATTTATTCTAGATGATATTTTCAGGGAATCCATTATTTAATATTCCGAAAGTTTTCAGTTAGAAAAAGCCTTACCGCTGGACCTGCTACTTCAAATGGGAAAATAGTTTAGGATTGATGAACTGCCTTTTCGTTTTTTCAGGATATTTCAGTAGGTCATTTGTCTGTTATCCAGGGAGTGGGAGCTTAGACCATCTTTCAACTCTTAATATGCACAATTGCGTAGTATTATTATCTTTTGAGCATGTAATAGATTATAAAACAAAGTCCATTGTCCAACTGTAGATCTGTTAAGTCACCTGAGTAATTGAAATCTGTATACTTCTATCTGGCTTGTTTGGTCTTATACAAATATCTATCGAAAGACCTACTGTGTTTTTCGTGTTAGTTTCAATATAAGGTTTTTATCTAACTGGATGAGCCATAAGAATGAATGATTTTCCTGACCAACATTCATTTCTCGATCTAAACATGTCACTGCGCTATCAGCGAATTACTGACAGTACGATGCATATGGAAATTGCTCCTAGTATCTGCTGTGCTTGTATATTCGAATCTGTAATGAAATTAACACGCATTTTTTAGAACAACCACTCATTTTTTTCATTTGAGAATTTCTCACTCAAAACACGTCACTTTTCCTAACGAATATAAGGTCGGTATTTGTTCACAAAGTAACTCTATAGAAAAATAATGTCAAATCCACTCCAACTCATTCTTTTACTGGATATACTTCCATTATTCTGTTCCTCATTTTTGCTTGCAGAAGTAAAAGTAACTATTATCCGGTTAACAGTTCATGATAAACAAATCATCAGTTTTTTCCCACCGTTCAGGTAGTATTCAAACTTCTGTCAGTCATTCTGCCTCATCACATACCTTCTCAAATTTTCCTACGTCATGTCCATCGATTTTCAGTTCAAATGCTTCAGATAATCAAAGATCTACTGTTCCTTTATCTATTGCCATCTCCCACTGATAAACATTGGAGCCAAATCAAAATGAACAAATCTACTGAGTATCAGCCTGTCAAATGTGTCTCTGAAGTTGTTTGCTTAGACGCAGTCCTGGGAAAAACTAGCTTCAGTTGACGCACTTTGCAAGTTTTGGAGATAGAACAACGTACTTCCAGTAATTTTCGTTGTGTACCTATCACAAATACAAAGGAAACACGTAAATCAGAACTATTTCTACTTTAATAGTCTGTTAACGTGTTTACTTGTCTATTTGTAATTTCCCGGTTTCAGATATCCTATTTCATTTCTACCTCAGTTTATGAACATGTGTAGTCTAACACCACATTATTATTCGTTTGAAATTTCATTTATTATGTATATTGAGTATGTATTATGTTAATGAATTTTTTAAAGATGTGAATGAAATAATTTTTTATGATCCAGGAAAATGATTTGTATTAAATATTCTAAAATTTAATGGTATACACTTTGTATTGCTTCCGAAGATACTTTCATTGTTCACGTATTAACATCATATTTGTAAGGGCTACAGCACCTCATACTATATGTAGTGTTGGGCTTAATTAACAGTTATCTTTCGACTTTGTAACATACTTTTTTGGTAGTAATAATAGTTTCATTTCATCTATGTAAATTCTGTTCAACAGTGTCGAGAAATTTACTTTTTTCCTGTAAATTTGTATTTGAGTTATATGTACTATAATGCGCCAACTATGTGTAATGGGTAGTAAATTCATTTGTCAAATCATAGATTGTATATAGTTGGTTTATTTTATTATAGTCAATATTTCTTATCTTACAGAATGAGAAATCCTTTTATATAATTTACTTGTATATTATTCTATGATCTTGTTTTTAAAAATTGATCTTATTTGTAATGACACTCCTTTTTTACTGCAATTTGTGTACCCTTTATTTGTATTTTCAGTAACTACCAAATAAACTTATCAAGTTTATGATACCTCCTAAAGATCTCATTCAATGCATATTAGTTTCATTTAATTTGAGCCTTTTTAAAATAAAAAACATCCATAACTTGTTGTAGATGTAGCCTTACTTCAGAGTTCTAAACTGTGTTGTTATTTTAAATCTTTCGCATACCAGATTTCTTCTGTCTGATGTACTTGACGAACGGTATGGCGAATTCCCCTTTCGGTAATCAAAATATTTTGGTTATACCCGACTTTCGCTAGAAAATTGCAATAAGTCGTTCTGGTGAGATTTGTAGATTTATTGTTTTTGATTGAACCTTCATCCGTCCCTTGAAAGCTTACGGCAACTTAACTAATACCATATTCATACTTTAACAATAAGTTTCAATGTACTCTTTTTAGACATTCGTTTATGTAGGGTCATGTATGTTAAAATAATTCAGGTGATTGACGCAAACATATAGTTTGTATCGCAATTCTATTCAAATACAACTCGATTTCCTTTAATTGCGCATGCATTCTAGTGTTCAATAAAGCGTTTCAAAATCAACTTGTTGTGAATATGTTGTAAATGTTTATTTCACTATTATGCTGTTGATAACCTTTAAATTTTCACCTCACTTAGTTCCGTTTTCTAAGCAGCTTCGTTTTATCGACTTAGATTTGCATCATCGCTTGAAGTGCATGAAATGGCAAAACTTGCTTATATAACTAAGCATAGCATACTCTTAATTGGTTCGTGATAATTTTGTTATATAGTGGGGCGTTTTGCTGTTAAATATTCGAATCAGTACATGTAATCGTGCCTTAATATTTTTCATCTTGTCATTATTATCGTCCAAGTTACTTTCAGTCCAAACAACCACTATGTTATGACTTTAAGTTGAGTCGGTTTTTACCCTGTGCTAATTGTTGTGTCCTTGACTAGAAAATTAGAGAGCAGCGTACTTATCGATCGATTACAGTGACACGGACGGACGGCCTAGAGTCTCGATTGGTTTGCGCTTCCCTGTCTAGCTCAGTCAGTTGAGTCCAGAACACAAGCCACAGCCTCGAAGATATGAATCATTATATTTCAAACATACTTTGTTTATATACCAATCAAGCATACCACATCGTACCATAAAATAGAGAACAACATTATGTACAATATTCAACAAGTGAACAGATATCGACCAATAGGAAATGTCCATTTAAAGTCCAAGGACACCATTGGACTTAACATGATAATTATTGGTCTATTCCTCCGCATCCACAACACGTAACTGTAACTGTTACCATGATACGTGCTTGTAACAAATGAAACCCACTGAACCCAGTCTCGACAGTAGGACTTCACGCAAACTTGTAACAGTAAGACTTGGGAGTAATAATAAGTCACAACTTAGAGTACTGCATTGAAGCAGCTAGCCTATCTCTGGTTAAGGATAGTAACTCACTTGAGTGTGTCGGATCGGAGTTAGTGAATGGTCTTTCTAAACTCCCTTACGATGGGCACTTAAAACGCTCAAACTTTTTCACCTTGTCGTATCGTAAGATGCGAGTTGACCTTATATTAACATTTCGTATCTTTAGTAACGACTTGGGTGTTAATACGTCTTATCATTTTGCTCCCTCCGGCACTGATAATCTCTAATATCATAGCAAGAAGTTTCACAAACCGCGATCTGTTAAACTTGTACAACATCTAAACTACATAACTGGAATTTGTAACTCCGTTTTGCGTGTTACTTCACAGTTCCGATAGAACTTCTTCACACTAAAACTGTATACCAGGAACATGAAGATCAGTCCAAGGAAAAAACCTATATTTGTGCGAAAATTCGTCGTTCATACTGTCATTATGTGACAACTGCAGTATGAACTTTAAACGGTTCATCATTAAGTTGCAACATCCATATGGGGCCCCAATTTTTGTATTGAAGGTCTCAATTTGAATTCAACCATTATTTTTTACCCATCATCATTTCGTAATCCGGTATATACAGCAAAAATGTCACCATAAAACGCCAACCAATATAATCAATCGAAATTTCTGCACTCGATATCGCTACATTTATTACAATTTTATCGTGCATGTAAACTGTCAGGCATCCGTTAACCTATGTTTTTTAGGATTAAAAGATTATCGTTGTTTAATTTCATTGTGGGATGTCGGACTTCTGACAACAATATAGTGTCCGAATGAGTTTACAAAAAAAGAGGAGAGGTTTTGCAAGGTGTAACGAATTTTAGAATCGTTATGCGTTCTGAAATTTTGTCAGTCATGTTGAGTGATAATACTACAGTAGTAGCACCACAATTGTCTTATTAATTGGTGCTGACATTAGTGCCGTGATTGACTAAAAGCAGAAAGTCAACCTGTGTCGTTGGCAGTTTACTTGTGGCTATACTTACGAGTGATTGATAGTGCAAAAAGAAGTTACATACAGGCATTTACATGCTTGAGAGCCCATTACAATCGTAGTTGTGTGGCTCGTCCTACCGACTGAACAAGTTGGTCAAGTTTGAATAATAATCAGCATTGAAATAAAGCTGCAAATGCTCACAGCGATCGGAAACGTAAGCGTCGACAGGAATGAAAAAAAATAAGCATGGAATATAATGATGAAGACCATTGGAATAGGCTATGTTTTTCAAAGTCTTACTCCCCATTGTACAACGCCAACGTAAATGGTCTGTGTCGAATGGTCGGAGGCATACGTGAATGAAACAGGGAAGGCGTGAATAGCTAACTAACTTTGAAATCAAACCCAAAACCTCGTATCCAACAACGATTTCTTTTTCGATAGAACAATGAGAAGACGTAGTTGATCTGAAAAATGTGATGTATTTGCGCTATACATTTCGAACAATCTGGTCACACATACTTGTCAAGGCATTTTTATATGAAAATTAATAAAGGTCAAACAAACAAATAAAAGTACAACTAAAATAACTAAGGGGGGGAGAAAGAATAAGAAATTGTCGCGTTATCCTAGGCCATAGAATGACTTAAGGATTACCAAGGTAAATTCAAGGTTACGACAAATTGTTTTTGTACACATAAGGGGGGTTTAAATTTACGAATAGCTAAGGCTTCAATAAACTTAAGAATTCAACCTTGACAATTTCTATACAACATTCTAAATGCTGTATTAATGTTAATTTTGTGCCCCGTCTCAATTATGTGTTTTGCTATTGATGAACTTGGTTTTCTACCTCCTACATTAATCGGATCATTTGACACACTGATTTTGAAGCCATCTGGGTACATGTTCATTGACCCTTGATTGCATTGTTCGATTACTCCTCCCTATGTATGTGTGTCCACACAAACATGTAAATTGGTAAATACAATGGGATGTGACGTAATCATTAGTGCATTGTTTGGGTCTATTATGAATCATGGCCTTAGACTTTTCAATCACTACCAACTGAGCAGCACAATACGTATTCTCAATGGCTGCTTTCAATCTGTGCCTTAAAACTATACTATTTGATTCGCCTCTATATGGTAGATTGATGTAAACCTTTTTCTTTGGCACTGAATAAATTAGAGGTCTTGGCATTAATTGACTTTTGCACCTATTAATAAACTTGAGTGGATAACCATTTGCTATTAACGTGTCAGTCAGTAACTTCTCCTCTTTTTCCACCATATCAGAGGTACATATTCTTCGAGTCCTCTTAAAGAGGCACTTAACTAGACCTCTCTTGTATTGCAATGGACAGAAACTATGGAAATTTAGGTATTGTCCCGTCCAAGTTGGTTTCCTATACACGGACCGTCTAATAGTGCCATCATCCCTTCGACTTAAAAGTATGTCTAGAAAGGCTAATTGGCCGTTACTTTCTGGTTCATGTGTCATCACAATATCATTTTGAACATTTTCAACAAGTTGATAAGTTACGGGCTCCAGAGATGCAAAATCACTAGTAGTAGGTGGACGATTGAGTCGTATGCTTAACAACGTTTTAGGTAGTAGTGAGCGTCTCTTATCGACCGACTGTAGTTGAATGAATCGGTAGGTTCAGTGAATTATCTATCTACTTCAAGTAAAAATTAATAAGGGACATGTAGCTACGGAGACATATCTTATACAACTGCAAAGAAGAAAAGTAATGGAAAATAAACTTGTTTGTGATACGGTCGAAAAATGTGAAAGGCCTATCATGCCTGAGTGGGACGCAGATGTATTTGCGTGTGCTTGATCAATGCAAACGAGGGCTTCATCAAGAATATTTACAAACGTATGTAATGCATCTGCTATGCGTATTTCAGAGGGAGAACTGTTCCTGGTTGATTCATCATTCGTGAAGAAGTTTTCTAGAGTTTTCGATCCGTATTTTTCAATTAACTGTTGATATTTCACCACGAAGGCCGTTTTGGGGCCCTTTTATTTGCCGTCATTCAGATCGGACAATGTTTGTTGAAGGGCTCACCACTTTAGTGAAGGCCCGTAGTTTGATTTTGTCCTCATTTAGATCGGGGATATTCGTTGAAGGGCTCACCATTTTAGTAACCCGTTGATCTGACTCCATTTAGAGCGTACGAATGTTTGCTATCGCCTATTCTCGTATGTCATCGTCGACTTAAATCGCGTTATCCAATAACAGAATTAAATAAGTCGAATAACGAGAATCGACTTGAGAATACATATATTTCGTACATGAAGCGAATGAAACATAGCAAAGCAAAATGACACGTATGGAAGATGGCTGGGAAGCCAACTCCATTTCAAGCCGGGCATTACTCAATATTTATAGGCAGACAAAATAAACTACAGACATGTGATGAGTCATGGGACATGAAGTGTACACACATATACGCTCATATGAAAACAGTCAAGGCTAATAAGCGAATAATTAACAAGGTCAAAACATGACTCAAGTAGAATGAATAGAATGGAATGTCCGGAAACTAGAATAAGATATATTATGGGCTAAAACTAATGACTAACACTACAGCCGTATACATGGGGCCTTGGGTAAGAACTATGTTACAAGTGGAGCAAGTAAGATATTTGAGGAGTTTGAAGTAGAGAATTTAGTTGGATCTGAGCTTTCTGTTCCAGAGTGATTCTAGTCCAAGGATATGGCATCGGAAACTATAGTCAGTGAGTGAGTCAGTCTCAAATATTTTGCAGGTGAAATACCATCATGTTCCTTCCACCCTCAGAATATCCGATAGGCGTAAGTTGGAAAACATGAACGAACACTATTCGACGATAAGTCTTACACATATCTTGAAAGAAATGATTTAAGATTGATTCCGACAGAAGTTACGACGAATGAAGTCGAACAATTTCCGCATTTTAGATGCTTTGGTGAAGATATAATCAGAGAAGTTAAGACTATGTGAGTAATGTACCCCATGGTCACTTACTGATTTGAGTATGAATTGTACATCCTTGTTAAGCGTTAGTTGGCGTGACTATAATTTATGGACAAATCAATTAGATTTAGGATAACAGGTCATAGATTTCGGCGCAAAATTCACTAACCCATTTGACCAAACAGTGTCTTTACATTTTAGCTGATGTCATTTGATGATGAAAAA